ATAGTGATGTATGATTTTAATTGCTACTAACAGTGAGTCCTTATTTTGTCCAGGCATTACAATCCCAAGAGAGCTGGGGTCTACAAAAGTGAGTTCCAGATAGTCAGGGCTGTTACACAGAGAAAACCTGTCTGGAAAATACCTAAATAAATAAATAAATGATTCAAGTGTTTTGTTGTTGTTTTGAGGCAGGGTTTCTCTGAAGCTTTGGAGCCTGTTAGGGGTTCTTTCTTCTTTGTTTTGTTTTTTATTTGTTTGTTTGTTTTGTTTTTTGAGACAGGGTTTCTCTGTGTAGCTTTGGAGCCTGTCCTGAAACTCACTCTGTAGACCAGGCTACCTCAAACTTACATAGATCTGCCTGCCTCTGCCTCCCGAGAGCTGGGATTAAAGCCATGTGCCACCACTGCCCAGCCAAGTGTTTTTTGTTTCGTTTTGTTTTTATAGATTATAGATTTTTCCCCCCTAGAATCAAGGTCTTCTTCCCAGAGCTGAGATTACAGTTATGTGCCACTATGCCTGGTGTTCTTTGTTGTTTATTTTTGAGACAGGTCACTCATGTCAGCAGTTCTCAACCTATGGGTCTCGACCCCTTTGGGGGGGCTGCACGTCAGATATTGACTATTCATGACAGTAGCAACATTACAATTATGAAGTAGCAAGTAAATATATAGTTGGGGGTCACCACAACATGAACTGTATTGAAGGGTCACAGGTTGAGAACCAGTGCTCTATGTAGTCCTAGTTATCTGGAACTCGCTCTGTAGACCAGGCTGGCCTCAAACTCACAAAGATCCTCCTGCATCTGTCTCCAGAGTGTTGGGATTAAGGTGTGCACCACCACACCCAGCTTCATGTCCAGTTTTATGGAGATTGACCCCATGACCTTGAATATGCTACAAAAGCACTATAAGAAATGAACTGTTCATCCAACTGTTTCAGGTCCTGACAGCCAGGCTTAAGATCTTAAACATGCTGGCCATTTCTCGAGTCCACATGTTTTACCGCATGCTTTACTGTCTTCCCAGAAGTCAGAGACTTAGGTTCTGGCCCTAACTGTACAGTTTGTAACCTTGCTTGGGTAAATTCACCCATAAAAGGGGGGAAGTAAGAAGCTGAACCGTGATATTTAGAGAGTCAGATTTAACTGTCAACGGTTTCTTGCATTAAATGATTGGCCATTCTTAGGTGTGGAAATTTTCACAGCCCTAATGGGGATGGCAAGATGAAAAATGGAGGAAGAGAGAGGGGAAGAAGGAGAGGGGGAAGAGGGAGAGAAACTTATCCAGCCTCTGGTAGGCAGAGTGTAATGATGGAGCTGAGTAGAAAGACTACAAAACCAAAGACACTGACCCCTGGTGTGCCACACCCAGCATCCAGCCTAAGGGTTCCTCCAAGCAGCATCGGGGAAGCGGCAGCAGCGGGAGCCCAGGCTCAATGCTGTTCCACCTTTGCAGGTTCACTGACTGAGATAATGCTTCCCCAGAAAGGGACCATATATGGTCAACAAATAGCTCCTAGGGCACTCCCTGAGCAATCCCTCTCTTGTCAGCTGACTATAGGGACCATTAGATCCAGTCAGTCCCTTTCCCAAGGAGTTTACAGTCTGGGGGGGGGGGGGGAGACAGATATGTAAACAGCTAATGCTAATGCAAGCACACATGAATATTCAATAGGTGGGAACGGCCTTCAAGCTCTGGAAGCATAGGAGAGCAATAGCCTGAAACCTTGAACGTGGTGCAGAAGAGGAGGGAAAGGGCATCCCTGATTAAGGAACAGGGGAGGCAAAGACAGGAGGCATTCGGTACAGTGAGGACAGCGGCACAAAACAGCAAGGACACAGAGAAGAGTCTGGAAAGGAAATCTGGGGTCAGCCTAGGGAGAGCCTTGCATGCCAGAATGAGTGAGGTGCCCCGAGAGAGGAGGTTTCAAGCTTTGGGGCATCCTACATAGAGTGGGTTGAGGAGGTGTCCTGACTCCCACTGAAAGAGGGGCACCCTAAATTCACCCCTCTAATGAGCAGCCTCCAACCCACAGGTTTACCAGCTTGACAGTTTCCACTCTGCCATCCTCCCCTCCCCCAGCCAGCCCCATAAATGGATCCAGATGGTCATTCCTATTTTGGGTAGTGTATGTGTTGGGGGAGGGGTGGCTCTGAACCCCATCAATCCTCAAACAAACTCTGTGTAAGAGGAGCCTCTTCCAGGCCCTGCTGTGATCCTCTGAGCCTGGAAGGCAGGGATAGTCTTTGATGGAGATTATCCATCTGGCTGAGGTGGGGTGAGGGGGAAGGCAGAGGAGGCAAGGGCACACACAGGCTAGGGAGCTGAGTGCTCTGGGTGAGAACCAAGGTGATGCCATGTGAGAGAAGGGGCCCTGTGATAGCTTGCAGTGGAAGCCAATCCCAGAAGAGGACCCCCCTCCCACAGGAGTCAGAGCTGGCTCCTATATACAGCCACATGACCTTTGCGTCCTGACTTCTGTAGCTACCCAGGGCAAAGGGAGGATAATGTAGGCTATAAGTAGAAAGCTAGGGCTCTCTCAAAGCATAGTACTATAGCTCTGTGCTCACCAGCCTCCAGGAACCCATCTTAAAAGGGCTCAGAGCACAGGGAAGTAGCAGACGATAAGCTAGGTCCTTTTGCTCAGACAGGCTGTTACCAAAACATTATGCCAAGCCTATAAGCATTTGTCACAGATCTGGCTTAGTGAATATTGGTTAAAACCACTAAACACTAGACTAGGCACTGGGTTTACAGAAGTGAAGACAACCACTCCTCCCTAGAGGAGGAGACAAACAATATGAGGTTATACGTGCACTATGGGTATTCCCGAGGAGAGTGACAGGGACTAAGTCAGACTGGAAGCCAAAAATTGGCTGGCTGAGAAAATGACATTGCATCTAAGTCTGGAAGGATGAACGGAAGTTAGTTTAAGTGAGTAGAGGGTTACATTAAAGGCAGGGGTGGGAGGTGTGATACGTCCCTCAGTACGAAGGGTTAATAGCAGGAAATGATCAAAGGTTAGGGTATCAATAGTGAAGAAGTAAGAGATAAGACATGATCTGGAAGGTACAGAGGCCTTGGAAATTAAAACATGGAAGAGATAGCAGGCCGTTGGTGGTGCAGGCAGAGGCAGGTGGATTTCTGTGAGAATTCTGAGGCTAGCCTGGTCTATAGAGTGAATCTCCAGGACAGGCTCCAAAGCTACACAGAGAAACCCTGACTCAAAACAAACAAAAGACCCATGGTAGATATTTGTATCTTACACTAAGCACAATGGGAAGCCAGATTAAATGTGGTATTTTGTTAGTTCTGCCAACTTTATGGCAGAACCCTGAGACTTACTTGAGTTGTTTCCTCATCCATACACACAAATCAATGGTTAAAAGGCATATCAGTTAACAATGCTGATAAAGGAATATCAAAGACATACACTTTCCTAGCAAAGCTGGGGCACAGAAGAAGTTAGACAAGTACTGTTACTGAGTCAAGAAGTAATGTGACAACTCATCTGACAGCTATTTCCTGGGCACTTCACACTTAATCTATTCTAAACCGTTCTAGAGGGGTTGCTTCCCTACAGGGTTCACACTGCACAGGGTTCACAGTACACATCGTTCACACTGCACAGGGTCATTCATGAAAGATGTACAAGTGTGCTCAAAGGATTTTGAGTGGATTAGAATTAGATACCAGTGAGGGTTTTTTTGTTTGTTTGTTTGTTTTTGGTTCTTTAAGACAGGATTTCTTTGTGTAGCCTTGGCCGAACTCGCTTTGTAAACCAGGCTGGCCTCAAACTAGAAGAGATCTGCCTGCCTCTGTTTCCGGAGTGCTGGGATTAAAAGATTAAACCACCTAGCCCAGTGAGATCTTTAAATGATATCTAAATCGAGGAACATTTAGTGTGCTTTCAATAGGGATGTGCACAGTTCTTGGAACATCTACTCTGCAGTAGGAACTGTGCAAGCTAGTGTAGTCAAAGACATTTGGATTTTCCACAGCACAGATAAAGTTTTAAAAATACATTTAAGAATCAGAGCAGCAGGCCTTCCATAGGTCTCCATTACAGAAGAATAATTTAATGGAAGAACGTCATCTCAAAGGCATAGCTTCCTTCCTCCTTGGTGCTTTTGTCCATAGCTTCTGTTGACTAATAGCCTCAGGTCATGAGGAATTGAGTCTGGCTGTACTGTGCCTTGTCCCTTAGCCAGGAAGAATTGCTTAGCCCTAGCCTGTACGGTCTGCTCCACTTGCAGAAACAATATGCCTGGGTATGGAAAGCAAGTCACTCGCTCTGGTCCTAGACCTGGCATAGTCGCACACCCCTTTAATCCCAACACACAAGACATAGAGGCAGGCAGATCTGTGTTTGAGGGCAGCCTGGTCTACATGGTGAATTCCAAGACAGCTAGAACTACTTAGCAAGACCCAGTTTCGAAACAAAAACAAACATCGTTCCCAAAACAACAATGGAGGTTCTATCTACCTAAGTCCTGTGACCTCCTGGATGCCCTCTCCCGCACATAGTGTCCCTTCCAGTTATCCTGTCTTTGCATCTCTGCATCCCTGCCCTCCCCAGGCCTGAGGTAAACAGCAGTATCGCCTTGCTCCCTTGTCCACTGCACTGAGTGTGTCTCCATCACATACACACACCAAGATTTTAGTCTGACCTTCCTTTACGCAACTCACGCCACAGAAAAGGACAAAGGAAATCGAAAGACTAGTGTTTGAATCGCAGCCCCTCACCTTGTTAAGCCTCAGTCTCTGATTTGTAACTGGAGGGAAGCAACTAAATTTGTATGTCTAATTAGTTTGTGGAAAGTAGTAACAATAGATGTCAAGTGCTTGGCACCTAAGAAGCGCTCAGTAAATATCGCCTGCACCACGTGCGGGCGAACCGAACCGCGATTGGCTGTGGGTCTCTGCAGGGCTAGACTAAGAGCCGCCTGAGGACGGTGCAGACGCTCAGCTTGGGGAGCGCGGAAGTAGCCTGCAGGCTGTGCGGACACAAAAGGACGAGACTTTAATTCCCGGAGGGAAGACCAAGCAAGCGGACCTCTAACCTCCCGGAAGTGACGATACAGGGGCGAGCGGCGCCGCAGTCAGGCCTTCCCGAGCGGGGCCTGTCCGAGCGGACCGCGCGCAGCATGGCGGAAGCGGAAGCGGAAGGGAGTTCTCCGCTCCTGTCGCAGCCGCCGCCGCCGCCCCCTCCTCGGATGGCGGAAGTAGAAACGCCGACGGCGGCCGAGACGGACATGAAGCAGTACCACGGGTCCGGTGGCGTCGCCATGGACGTGGAGCGGAGCCGCTTCCCCTACTGCGTGGTGTGGACTCCCATCCCGGTGCTCACGTGAGTCTCTTCCGGTGTCACCGCGAAAACGGGGAAGGCCCGAGAGGCCTCCGGTGTGACGTTCTAGCTTTTTTCTCAGACGGGGCAACCCTTACCCTGGGCCAGGCCAAGTCCCTAGAACCCCGCCACCTGTGCGGTGCGCGTTCCCACTTGATGCGTGCTTCCGGTCATGGGGAGGTGGGCGATTGTAGGCCAGGTAACTAGAAGGCCCTTAAGCCGCGCAGGTGTAAAGTCCTTTAACCATTGTCTGAGGACGTATGTCCATTCATTCACCGTTACTTATTTTTTTCACTCATTGAGCAAATGAATGCTTACTGCTCATCTGCTTTAGCAAAAATGAGTTTAGAAGCAAGTTGAGATCACATTTGTTCATGGAATGTCAGCACTGGGAGGTCCATGCCAACATTTTGCCTCCCCATTACATCTTCTGAGCTGCAGAACAGAATCAAGTACCTAGGTGTCTGTCCCCCAGTGGGAGAGAAGCAGCTTGCTGCCCTCCTACTTTAGTTTTAACAGCCTGGACAGTTTGCAAGCTCTTTCCATTCCCCCTTTTTGTTTTGTTTTGAATTTCTAAAGTAGGAATTCTCCGTGGTGAAGCTGAGTTTCTTGTAGGTAGTCTGGTCTATTTACTGTCCCAGCAAGAAAACATTCAGAAGTCAAGTTTACTGCCTGTGTAGCTAGCTTGTCATTCAGCTGTGTCATAGCACCCCGCACCTGAGGGGGTGCATATTTTTCCTCTATCAAAACCAGCCTCTGCCAGGTGGTGGTGGCGGCGCAGACCTTTAATCCCAGCACTTGGGAGGCAGAGGCAGGCTGATCTCTGTGAGTTCGAGACCAGCCTGGTCCAAAAGAACTAGTTCCAGAACAGCCTCCAAAGCCACAGAGAAACCCTGTCTCAAAAAACAAAACAAAAAACAAACAAAAAAAATTAAAAATAAATAAATAAATTCTCTAAAGTTCTTTCTAAAATGTCTCCAAAATTCCTTCTTCTAAAAGTTCTCCTGATATCTCTCCTATCCCACAAGGCTTCTAGTTCTTTTATCCACAGGTACATTTAACAACTCTCTGACAATAGGGCATGCATTTCTCTCAGAGCCAGGAAGGTGGGTAGGATCTTGAGAAAAGCAGGTGCCTAATGTCTCTCCCCTGGATGTGACTTTCAAACTTGAAACAAGTGCTAATTGAAGCGCTATATCAAAAGTAAAAGCTAAGGCTCTGTAGTGTGAGATCCAGAGGGTGCAGCTCTTATTGCTGATGCCCTAGTGAGAAGGAATTCCTATTTGAGAATACAAAGCACCCAGTATATATTCTATATACAGCCACATTTGAAGTAACAAATATTCTGGAGTTGATGCCTAGAATATTAATTGCTACCTCTGTATTACATGATAAAGGCTCACAGCACTGATCCCCTTGCGTCAGGCGTCTAAGTTCTGGGACTACAAGCATATGCCCTCCCATCCAGCTAATGACCTAATTTTTGTGTTATGTTAAACTACTGGGGTAAGGGGAGAGAACTCAGTAAAGTCTTTGCTGTGCAAAAGAACCTGACTTTGGATCCCTGTCACCCATGTGAAAACTAGATGCAACAGTGTAATAATCAGCCGGTAGTTCCAGAGCTGAGGACGTGGAGATAAGAAGCTCTCTGAGGCATGCTGGCCAGCTAGTCTTGTCAAGCCAGTGAGAGGCTGTCTCAAAAAATAAGGTGGGGACTGGCCATAGTGACACACGCCTATAATCCCAGCACTCAGAAGCAGAGCCAAAACCAGGTGTGGGGCTAAATCAATGGCTCAGTGGTTATTGCTCTTGCAAATCAGAGTTCAGTTCCCAGCACCTACATGGTGGTACTCAGCCAGGGGATCTAATGGACACCAGGCAAACAATGGTGCACATACACACGTGCAGGCAGAATGTTTATATAAACAAAACTAAACCATAAAAGAAAAAAAAAAATCAAGCAAGCAACCAGTCAGTGGTGGTACATGTCTTTAATCCCAGCACTCAAGAGGCAGAGGCAGGTTGAGTTCGAGGCCAGTCTGGACTATAAAGCTACACAGAGAAACCCTGTCTCAAACAAACAAACAAACAAACAACCCCCCCCCAAAAAAAAAACCAAAAAGAAAAAAAATCAAAGTCTGAATCCAGGCACTGTGATTTACCCTTCTGTCCTGAGTGATTAGGGTAGAAGCCATCCTAGGTTACAGAGCAAGGTCCAGGCCAACCTAGGATTCCAGAGTGAGCCCCTGGATCAAAAAAAAAACTAAAAAGAAAAACAAACAATTTACAACTTACAATATATGCTTGTTACTTCATTAAGTGTTACTCTAACACATTTGCTAAATGACAACTCCTTGTGCCTCTGCAGTCGTAGGTAGTAAGGCCTAGATGCATGGTGTATCTATCGCCATACACTGGCACAGAAAGCAGGTGTGCTGCTTGCTCTTGAGTTGGTGCAGGAGTAGAGAGTAAACAAGTAATCATAGGGAAAACTCCAGATGTGGAGTAGGGCTGTACAGAAAAGACTGTCAGTGTGAAAGTGGGTGGGTATGCAGGTGATGAGATGTTTGTGTGAAAACTCGTCATGCTAGCCATGTTGGCCTTTTCCTCATTTCTTCTTTTAAAAAAAATTATTTCTGCCAGGTGGTGGTGGCAGGAGCCTTTAATCACAGCATTGGGGAGGCAGAGGCAGGTGGATCTCTGTGAGTTCCAGGTCAGGCTCCAAAGCTACACAGACACTCTGTCTCAAAATCACCCCCCCCAAAATATAGATACATACATACATACATACACATACATACATACATACATACATATATACATACATACATAATGTGTATGAGTACCTGTGGAGGTCAGAGGACAGCTTACAGGAGTTAGTTCCTCCTGCCATGTGAGTCCTAGGAGTCAAAACACGGGTCATAGGATTTGGCACAGGTACCTTTATACACTGAACCATGTGGTCAGGTCAGTTCCTCTTTTGTTTGATTTTTTTAAGACAGGATTTCTCTATGTAACAGCCCCATCTGTCCTGGAACTCCCTCTGTAGACCAGGCTGGCCTTGAACTCACTGAGATCTGCTGAGATGAAAGGCATGTGTTAACCACTGTCCTATAAGCTCCTTATTTTTAAAACTATTTGCAGCATGGTCCTCTACAGAGAAATGGTGACAACTTGAGGTGGAGACATGCAGTCCCCTCTGTCTGGGCTGGAAGCAGCTTACATCTCAGGTCTCTTCAGAATGCATGCAGGTGTTCCTAAGACTCTGGGCTCCCATTAGAGGACTTGCCCTTCCCCCGAAGGGACAGGTGCAGCCGAAGGGACAGGTCATGACGTAGCTATGTGAGATTGCTGAATGCAGGGTTATATGTGGCGTGATGACTCTCACATCTGTGAGAGGGAGATCAGAGGAAGACCTGTCCACCTCTCCTGATGTTGACTGTAGCTGCTGCTTCAATTTCATGTTTCCCGTCATCCAGCCCTGACATCAACTGTGAAAGCAAATACTGTTGCATTCATATGTAGATGAGGGGAAAGGCATGAAACTCCAGGATGAGCAACTAACTCATTCACTAAACTTTACTGAGACCACTTTTGTCCTCAGTCCGGAGGAGACCACAGGAACTGAGCTGTGGAACTTGTGTTTGGGGAACTGACTAGCTGTTTTGAGAGTTACTTCCCTGGGATTTTGCTGGGCACAGAGCTCTAGTGTTGTCTCTTTGGCCTTCGTTCCCAGTTCTCTCTGCCATCGGCACAGTCGTGACATGGAGTACTCCTCAAAGCCAGGTCCCTGCCACTTGAAAGGGATGTGGTCCAGGGAAGAGCCTGGGATTGGTTCTGGGAAACCAGGAGCTGTCTCCCACCATTCTTGGTTTCCACCCTGTGTTCTCTATGGGTCTTCAGTTGCTTATACTCTTGCAGTCAGGCAGCAGGTGTTTACTGACTGCCTCAGAGTGACGCTGTGAGCCCCAAGTGAGCAGCATTTTACCTAAGACTGCAAGCAGTGGACCCTCAGCAAAGTGCTGTCACTCTGCAGGAAGCTGGGAATGAAGGGAATGGATAGCCTGCTCAAACCTCACATCAGAACCTAACTTCACTCCTTTTTTTGCTTTTGAATCAGGATCTCTATAGTCCTGCCTGCCCTGGAACTTGCTATGTAGACCAGGTTGGCCTTGAACTCACAGAGATCTACCTGCCTCTTCCTCCCAAGTGCTGACTTCATCCTTTTTTCTAATTGTCACTTAGAATAATTTTATATACATATAGGATACAGTGTGACATTCTGATATGTATTTTTGTTTGTTTTTCAAGACAGGGTTTCCCTTTGTAGCCCTGGCTGGTCTTGAACAGAGATTCTTCTGCCTCTGCCTCCTGAGTGCTAGGATATATTAGAGCCACCACTGCCTGGCTCCAATATGTATTTTTAAAATGGGTGGGCAAAGTGCTTACCTTAAACATGAGACCTGAGTTCAAATCCCCAGAACCCATGCAAAGGCAGGCATAGAAGGAACCCGTAATCCCAAAGCTCCTAAAGTAAGATGGCAGAGAAGGGGAATCCCTAAACATTCATGGGCAACTAGCCTGGAGTACACAGCTTTGAGATCCTGTCACAGAGCAGAAGGTAAAGCAGCACCCAAGGTTGTCCTTTGACCTCCACACATACACCAGGGCACACACCACACACATACATACATCATACACACACATACACATATATTATACACACACACCATACACACATATACCATATGCACACACACCATACACACGCACACTATGCGCACACATACACCATATATATATACACTACACACACACCATATATATGTATATGTAATATACATATATCACCATATATATATGTTATATATATATCACACACCATATACACACATATGCTAGGGCACATGCGTGTACATCATACACACAGAATATGATAAGCAAATCAGGGTAAATGGTGTATCCATTACCTCAGCTCTTGTTTCTTTGTGTTGGGAAGGTTCAGAATGCTCTCCCCTACTCTCTTGAAATCTACAATTAGTTGTCAATTATAGTTACCTTGCTGTGCTGTAGACATTGAAATTATTCCTCCTATCCAGCTACTCTCAAATATAAATCGTTTGGTCAGCATTCCACTGACAGATACATGGGGAGTTAGGAGCTGTGTGCCATGCCTGGCACGCATTGGAAGCTGCAACGGTAGATGAGACAAAATCTTTGTTCTCGTGGAGCGCAAGTATTTAGTGAGGAGAAACAGGCAGCTGATGAGTAAATACCAAAATCATTTCTAGTGCATGGATATGAGGAAGGAAATAAAGCAGATGGTAGGTCTGGGGCTCTGGGGCTGTTTGTGTGTGAAGGTGGATGAAGAGGATACATCCAGATCTTTTTTTTAAGGTTTATGTGTTTTATGTATACGAGTGTTCTATTTTCGTGAATGTTTACATGACAGAAGAGGGTACCAGATCCCATTATAGATGATTGTGAGCCACCATGTGGTTGCTGGGAATTGAACTCAGGATCTCCAGAAGAGCAGTCAGTGCCTTTAAGCTAGAGCTATCTCTCTAGCCCAACATCCAGATCTTAAAAGTCTTTTAAAATAATTTATTTAAATTTATTTTATGTACATTGGTATGAAAGTGCCAGGTCCCCTAGAACTAAAGTTACAGACAGTTGTGAGCTGCCATGTGGGTGCTGAGAATTGAACCTAGGTACTGTTCTTGCAGAGAACCTGAATTCAGTTTCCAGTGCCACATCCTGTGTCTCTGATAACTCCAGCTCCAGGGGATCAGGTGCCCTCTTCTGGTCTCCAGGGGCACCTGCCTGCACTCACGTCCCTTAGCACCACACACATACATAATTAAAAATTAATCTCGGAGAAAAAGAAAGCCCTCTTCCTTTTACAGTTTGAATCCATCACCTATGAATATCTAGTTAAGACTGTCATCTAGGGTTTGGAACTTCAGCAGTAGCCTCTACACTGGCCTCCCTCCTGCCTTCTCAGCTCTCATTCCTTACCCACTGAGCCATTTACCAGCCCTACATGACCACTCCCCATTTTAAACTTCTTCATTGAAGTGTTATCTACACATTATAAGGTGTACAAAGCTTAAGCATAAAATTCAGTTAAGTTGTTTAAGGTTTCCTACCTCCCTTCCCCTCCCATTTCTTCCCTTCCTCTTCAATTTGTGGGCTGGAGAGAGAGTTCAGCACATGTACTGTTACAGAGACCCCCAAGAGTACCTCCTAGCTTCTGTGTCAGGTGACTGATAACCCCTCTAAGGCCAGCTTCAGTGGAATACAATACTTGTGGGTACCCATTTATACCTACATGCAGACAGATGCACATAATTTAAAATGACATTTGAAAGTTTTTCATTATTAATGTGTGGGTACAGGAGTGTGTGTGTCACAGTACACACATAGAGGTCAGAGGACAGCTGTATGGAGTGGTTTTCCCCTTCTACCATGTGAGTCCCAGGAGTCAAACTCCAGTCATCAGGCTTGGTGGCAGGCACCCTTACAGCTGAGCCACATTGCCAATCCCAGGGTAATAGCTGTAGATTTGTTTTGTCCTCTCTGGAACACTAAACAGTACTATATTTTATATGCTTGAGTCAGGCTTTCTTTCAGGCCTACACTCTTGAGAGTCTATGTTGTATGTAGCAGAAATGTGTTTTTCACTGTTACATACAACTATTGCAAGGCTATGCTGGTTTTACTTATTCTTCTGCCAGATATTCATTTTTCTGTGTGTTTGTGATTTGTTTTATTTTTGAAGAGCTTTTTTTGTTTGTTTTTCAAGACAGGGTTTCTCTGTAATGCTTTGGAGCCTATCCTGGACCTCCCTCTGTAGATCAAGATGGCCTTGAACTCATAGAGATCCTCCTGCCTCTGCCTCCCAAGTGCTAGGATTATAGGCATATACCAGCCATGTCCAGCTTAGTTGGGGTTTGTTACCTTTTTAAAAAAAATTTTAACTTTGAGATAATTTACATTTGACAAAAGATATACTTTACTGTTTTATTGTATGTGCATGAATGTTTTGCTTACATACATGTCTGTGCAGCACATCTGTGCCTGGTATCCACAAAGACCAGATGGTTGTGAGTGGGGTTTGGAAATTGAACTCAGATCCTCTAGAAGAGCAGCCAGTGCTCTTTACTGAGCCATTTTTTCAGCCCCAATAAAAGGTACACTTTTATGAGCACAGTTCATTGAGGGTTTTTGTTTTTTACAGTTCTGGGGTTCAGGGTACTTACTATGTATGCCTTTATACACAGTTTTTGTGGGCACAAGGCTTGTTTTCTTCTGTGACGTCCTCAGGACTGATGAGGCATAGCTTCCAGGGCCTGACAGTTTCCCAGAGAGAGGCATTTTTATCTCCCCTGCAGAGTCCACAGTCTTTCTGTTCTGCGTCCTCTATCAGTGATAGCCCTTCTGGCTGGGATGTGGGGTATCCCAGTGTGCCTCCGAGTCATCGTTGCCCTTCGTTGGTGCTTTCCCCGAGCCTCTGGTCCTCCCTAACCCAGCTGTCCTTTTCCCTGTCTGTTTTCTCACAGGTGGTTTTTCCCCATCATTGGCCACATGGGCATCTGCACATCTACTGGAGTCATTCGGGACTTCGCTGGACCCTATTTTGTTTCGGTGAGTCTCCAGGCTCACATAGAAAGGCTGGCCTGGGCCCAGGAAGTCACAGATAACTCTCAGGTCTGGCCCTAGCCTCCTGCCCCCTCACCAGTGTTTGACCCCTTTCCTTCTCTTGCCTCCAGGACAGGCCAGGAGGGCAGTGTGGCCAGAGGAATCTTAAATAACTGGCTCAGCCCTCTTCCCCAATCCCTGGGTACCAAGACATGGGTAGGGGTTAGAGGCAAGAGTGGAGTCAGACCATCCAGGAACCACATCTCTGGACCTTCAGAAGGTGGGAGCCATGGTTGGGGGTCAGGGGAGGCTGACATGGTTCCCAGGGTGGGGCTTTTAGACTGAACCAGCTGTGTTCTCAAATTTGCTTCCTGGGGATGGACCAGCATTAGTCCAGTGGGCTCTTTGCAGATGAGCACATAGCATTTGCCTATTTTCCAGTAGCTAAAGCTGGAACAAAGGGGTATGATGGCATAGCCTGTTTGTAATTATGGTTGTTACAACCATCCTAACAGGACAAGGCCTCTTGTTGTGAACTTCATACTTCTACTAGCTAGGCATAGTGCATCATGTTTCTCTAATCCCAGCATTGGGAAAACTGAGGCAGGAGAATTGCCCAGAGTTTAAGGTCAGTGGTCAGCCTGGGCTACATAGTAAGTTCCAGGTTAGTTTTGAGTATGGAGTTGGGCTCTGCTTCAAAAACAACAACAACAAAGCTAGGCATAGTATCATATTCTAGTACTCAGGAGGCAGAGGTAGTGAGTTCAAGGCCAGCGTGGTCTCCATAGAGGGTTACATTGAGAGACCTTGTCTCGATATATAGAATTATATTTCTGGGGTGTGTGTGTCTACATACAGAGTCTAGGACTCCCCACAGTCTCTCCCTCATGAGACAGTTCTGTGGGTCCAGCAGCCTCCCTCCTGCTCTGAAGGTATCCCACTCCAGGTCCCATGTGAGCTATCACTGTTGCATTGAGAGGTCAAGGGGCTGATGTTCCAGTATGAAGGGAAGCTCTGGCCCATGATGAAAGATCAGAGGCTGCCCTGAGGACATCGGGAGGGCCAGAGAAGGCCCTGGGTCTTGCACCGCCTCCTTTCTACAGAGCAGTGGCTCTGCCACTACAGATGCCATGCCCTACCCCAGCACTGCTGTCCCCTTCTAAGTCACTGCACTTGAACCACTGACCCAGGGTTGCTGTTAGACTGGATGTAGATTCTGCACTGACTTCTGCTCTTGTCTCTCAACAGGAAGACAACATGGCCTTTGGAAAGCCTGCCAAGTAAGTGAATAGCCTTGTGCCAGGTTCTTTCTGCTCAGAGCAACAGCCAGGCCCTGTGCGAGGCAGCAGGAGCCAGCACCCTGAGGACAGTTAGAGCCCACAAGGACACAGTGCCCTGTACCTAGTGTATCAGTCCCTGTCTAGGCCTCATCTTGTAGACTGTCCAGGTCTTGCTTCAGACCTGGGAGATTGCATGTTCAACTCCATGGCACAGGAGTACAGAAAGGGATGGGACTCGGGCAAGGTTACAGTTATGGAGCATCAAATGTGGCTCTCACAGCCAACTCTGTCTTCCTGTGTAGCCTGGAGTCCTTCCACCCCGGGGAACAAGCAGGCCATTAAGGAATAGAAGGCTGCTTGGGGCTCCCCTGCAGCTTTGTTTGGAGGGCATGAAAGCCACTCAGGCTCTGAGAGCAAAGCAGGTTTCACTGCAGGCCTGTCTTTATTCTTCAGCGCTGGGTGGTTCCCGTGACTCTTGGCTTGGTGACAGTGCCTCAGAACTACAGCAGGTATCCTGTGGCCCAAAGCCACACAGGAAGCTGCTGGATAAGGTGGGTTGGAGCAGAGCTCCCTGCCCTGGCTTCCTCAGGCAGGTGGAGATGTGGTCTGGAGGGTTCTTTGAACTATTTTTTTTCAGGCATTTTGAAGGACAGACTGCTCCAAGCCCCACAGTCCAGGCCACAGTGGTTTCTCATTGCCATGTCCGCTGCTGATCTGTCACTGTCTCCCCTCTGTCGTCGTCATCCCCCATCCCTATCCCTACCACGGGGGCCCTCTGCTGCTCCCAGGAGCCATCTGACCGACCTGCCTGGTGTTAGGGGCTTCGGCTCTGCCAGCTTCTTTCCCACTCTGGCAGCTGAGTTGGGCAGGGTGTTGCATCTCCTGTCTCAGCTGTCACTTCATTCCCTGACACCTCCAGGATTGCTCGGTCACTTATTTCTGGGACGCACTGAACAGTTTATGCTTCCCACCTTGTTCAAACTGTTCCCACAGCCCCCGGTGCTGACCTAACCCTCCTCTGTCAGCCTAGACTCAGGTGTTCCTCTGTCTTCATCCATTCAGGTTGCCATGACAAAATGCCATTGAGTGGGTGGCTCATCAACAACAAAAATGTCTCAGCATTGGAGAGGAGGAAGGCCAAGGACAGGATGCTGGTACACTCAGTACCTTATGGGGCCACAGTGCCTTCTTGTCCCCACATCTGATGAAAGGAGTGGAGGGGTCTCTTGGGCCTATCTTTTAAGGTCACTGACCCCACCCATAAGTGGGTTCCTGGGGGGTTAGGATTTCAACATAATAGGGAACAGTCCACATTAGTGGTAGTGGTAGCATGTGCCTTTAGATCCCAGCAGAGGCAGGCAGATCTCTGTGAGTTCAAGGCCAACCCGGTTTACAGTGCAAGTTCCAGGACAGCCAGGACGACACAGTGAACCCCTATCTTGAAAAACCAAAACAGAAAGAAAGTAGGGGACAAACATTGAAAAAAAGTAGGGGACAAACCCTGAGATTACACAGCAGTCTGGATTAGTCTGAGTCTTCCCAGGAGCCACTGTGGCATTGGTGGTCTTGCCTGGTCACAATCGACTCACTTCCTGGGCAGATGTGAACAGACTTGTGTTCACCCCACATTGAACACTAATGGAGCTTCATGAGCCTGAATTTACTGGGGTCACTTACAGGAGTGAGTGTCCCAAAGGCAGTTGACTTCAGGGAAAGTTCACATTGTGGGCACAGCCCGTGCAGTATGTCCCTGCATGTCAAGCTAGCACCTGGGATACTCTTCTCCATACCAGTTGCTGTGGCTTGAAGCTGCTGTTGCAGGAGTTTCCTGAGCCCTGTGAGTTCTCTTTCCCAAGCCTCAGGCTCCCCTTCCCCATTGTGGAAGAGAATGTTCCAATTGGGAGGGAATAGCCACAGCACACTAGACCTGGGCCTGCCCGGTTACCCCACTCAGAACGTGAAGCTGAAAGGCCACAAAGGGACTGAGCCGGTGCCCAGAACTTCCCTTTTCCCTTCAGGTTCTGGAAATTGGACCCCGCACAGGTATATGCTAGTGGGCCCAACGCATGGGACACAGCTGTGCACGATGCCTCTGAAGAATACAAGCACCGGATGGTAGGTGGGAACTGGGGGGGGGGGAAACTCCCTCCCTCTCCCCCAGCCCAATCTGACCCAGCTGCTCTTATCTCCAGCATAATCTCTGCTGTGACAACTGCCACTCACACGTTGCATTGGCCCTGAACCTGATGCGATATAACAATAGCACAAACTGGAACATGGTGACACTCTGCTTCTTTTGCCTGACTTACGGGAAGTACGTCAGGTGAGCTGTTTCCCCATCTGCAAGCCCCCCCCCCAACCAGGCCACTAAGGATCCTGGAAAAGCTGTCACTGGAGTCCTTCAGTCACCAGGGAGTTTCTAATCTCCTGGTGGAGAGCAAGGTGGCTGTACCTACATTCTACTTACTCCACATGGGTTTCCAGCTGACCTGTCACTCATTCGCTTCGAGGTCCTGGGTAGCTGATTCTGGGCTACAGCCGTCCCTGGTAAAAAGGCTGTAGTGGCTCTGGCTTCTAGAGAAGCTATGAGTCTACAGAAGTCAGATGAACACACAGATCTCTTGGAGAGTGTCTCCCTCTCCCCCCATCCCCTCCCCCCACCCTGTGTCCTTTGTCAGGGGCGGACGTTGTGGACAGTTGAGCTCCATCAGGCTGATCTTTTAAGCCACAACCTCATGACCTATGACACTTGACATTCATCTTAGCTCACACAGAATTCAGGGTGGGTGAGTTCCCTGGATTCCACAGCAGAGCCCAGAGGTAGGAACCATCACAATCGAACTGATTCACCTCCCCAGCTCTGTTTTTAATTGTGCTTATCATTAAGAGCTTCTGAAAGGGAAATTCTCAGGGGACTTCTTTGTCCCTAGAAGGCTTGAGAGACTCCCCCATAAAGAACATGACTGGGCATAGGATCAGGCCCTGACTCCTAGCAGTCCATTACCCGTCTCCCATCTCTCTGTGGGTCCCACCCTCAGATGGGAGCTTCTGGTCATGAGCGATTGTAGGTGCCAGTGAGACTCATACATTTCCTTCCTTCCATGGCTTCTACAGTAGGCATCAGGCTAGCCCTGTCCCTTGGCTAACCAAACTGAGGAATAAGTTCCAGGAGCCTTCTAGGAACTTAAGCCCGCCGGCGTGGGGAAAAGAGGGGATTCTGGGCCATCAGTCCATCTGCTCGCTTGACTGTCCCTGTGCTCTCTCCCTTGCCAGTGTTGGAGCCTTTGTGAAGACCTGGCTGCCCTTTGTCCTTCTGCTGGGTATCATCCTGACCGTCAGTCTCATCTTCAACCTGCGGTGATGGTCCAAGCTCACCAGCCCCCAAGGAGGCCCCACCACCCACTCTGGTCCTGGTTCTTTTACCCCTGCCCCCTACCCCCTCAGGCAGTTGGCTTCCTGGGTTGGAAGTAGGGTCAGGGCTCAGGATGGATGTAAAGTCAAGTGTGAGATGGGGCCACTTAGAGCCTCCTTGTCTTCTCTCCCTGGGCTTGTGACGTCCCTTTGTGGCATCCCCATTGCTGTCCTGGGAAGGCCTTTGGAGCACTTCCTGCCACTACCACTGGGCTGTTTCTGCCTTGCCCAGGACACAGTGAGGACATGGACACACTGGGCAAAGCAGTGTTCAGAGCTGGATTTGAAGCTGCTTTCTGAGTGGTAGTTGTGTCCTGAAATGGGTTGTGGTGTTCCAAGAAATGCTATGAACCAAGTGCTAGCGTAGAATGGACTGGAAGGTCTGGCTAAGTTCTTCTGTGTCTGCTAGAGTTGTGCTAGCATAGTGTATACCCCATTGCCCCTCATCTGAGCCCTGGCAAGCAAGGTGAATGGCCTTATATGCAGACTGGGTCCCCAGTAAATCAGATAAGGTAAACCCCACTTATTTCCAGCTCATTGACTCCTCATGCTGGTGATAGAACCCCTTATGTATAAAGTGTGAGAACCCATCAAAGCAGCTGGTGGGACCATGGGTCAGCTGGGTCTACTTCTGGTTGCTACAATGAACCCTGTGTAGCCTGCCTCACCCCCTGCTCCTTTATAAGGGGCTCCCTGGCAGGAAATAAAGTTTCAAGTTCAGGTGGTGTCTGTTATTTTCTTCCTCCACCCCTACCCCCAGTTTCTAAGCTCATATCCCTGGGGTTCTGGGGCAAAGATATCTAGTTACTAACAACACGTCCCAGTCTTTCCAACTGGAGTTTTGGGGCAAATCAATATTCCTTGTAAATTCTGCCACTGCACAGGCTGTGGAAGTCCCAGCTCTTCCCGGTCCATGTTCCAAGTGTCCTAGAAAGGAATCTTACATCTTCCCTATTGGGAAAAACTTCAGCAGTAGGACTGGAGTTGGGAGTGACCTGCTTCCTCGGCTGGGAGTGCACAGTTGGAGTAAGCCAAGAACAGTGGCAACCCTTGGCCACATTGTGTATGGTGGCCATTGGTGAACTCCCCTCGCCTACCCCACAGCCATGTCACTGGCTAGCTTGCTCCTTGGTGTTTGTATGGCTGCCAGGGTTCTTGTTCTTCACAGTATACCAGTTATGTACACCCTTCTGAGCCAAAGCCCAGCTTAAAGGCTATTTCCAGGATAGCATGTAACCAACAGCCCTTGTCTAGCACGGCCTTGGGTTTCTTCTGCAGCACTCAAATGCTTGTCTGTACTGGCCCTTGTTAGAGTGTGATTATGTAACCTCCCAACAGCCCTGTAAGGCAGGCACTGACAGTCCATGTGGCAGATGAAGAAATGAACACCCACATAACTTGTCCAAATTCAGAGGGAGCCCAAAAGCCACTGGAGCCCCACCTAAAAAGGACACTTGGGCTTGAAAACCAGGAGGATTGGATGTCTTCCAGGGGTGCTGAGAGGTGGGAGGAGGGCCAGGGAAGCATCCTTGGAGGAGGGTGCTGTTTGCCACGGTCTTCGGTGGGAGGAACTTGACAGTGTAGTTGGCCACTTCCACGGGGACACTAGTGGAAAGCACACGTGTAAATTCATGTTTTAACTGAGCTACCTCCATCCTTATACATGTATTATCTGAGAATCTAGGGTTCACGCAATAGTGCTGAAAACCTAAGTGATTATTAACTGACTTAAGGAAAAGGAAACTGAAAATAACTGACAAAAGCAAGTCAGAGGCTGAGTGGTAGCTGAGAGGTTAAAAGTCCTGACAGTTTTTCCAGAGGATGGTAGCTCATGACCATCGACATAATAATTCAAAAAAGAAAGTGAGGCTGGAAAAATGACCTTGTGGTTAAGAGTAAAAGTTGGTTGCTCCTCCAGAGGACCAGATCCCAGCTCCTACATGGTACCTCACATCTGTAACTCCAGTCCAAGGGGTTGACTGCCCTCTTCTGGTCTCCACAGGCACCAGGCACACATCAAATGCACAAACATACATACAGGCAGAACATCTATACACAAAAACATTTAGAAGCAAGCAAGCTTGAGGGCCAGCCAGCAGCATGGCTCAGAGAGGAAGCACGCATAGCCAAGAGTTCAAGCTCCATGGAGTTGGAAGGAGAGAATGAACTACTGCAAGGTCCTCAGATCTCCAGATGCACACCATGGTACGCACACAGAATGTATTAAAAAAATATATATTTGAGGGGGCTAAAGGCCAGGTAGTGGTGCACACCTTTAACCCCAGCACCTGGGAGACTCAGCACTTAAAAGCACCTGTTGCTCTTGCAGAGGACATGGGATCCCAAACACCCACATGATGGCTCACAACCATCTGTAACTCCAGTTCCAGAGTCTGACCCTCTCTTCTGGCTCCCTTGTGTAGTCAAAGCATTTATACACATAAATAAAAGGATAGTGGTGGCTCTAGTGCCTAAGACCAGAATGTGAATAGTCCAGAAGATCATTATCCCAAAAGCCATGTATTCTAAGGCCCAAAACAGGATGTGGTACTTGGTGAGAGTGGGGCGCCTTGGCTGGCACTGGAGTCCAGAGCTCTTTAAACAGAAGGGTCCTTGGGGTGAGGAGACAAATGGTTGTTTTGTGAACATAGGTGGTCAGAGGTGCTCAAATGGCCATGGACATTGGTCTGTTGGAGAAAGGACACCTGGCATCTACTACATGCCAGATGTGCCGGGCACCTGTGTGCCAGCTGTGCCAGGCACCTGTGTGCCAGCTGTGCCAGGCACCTGTGTGCCAGCTGTGCCGGGCACCTGTGTGCCAGCTGTGCCGGGCACCTGTGTGCCGGGCACCTGTGCTTCTCTTTGGGTTCCACTCCAGTTTGCATAGAAAGAAATTATTGCTCAGAGGGGTTAAATCTGCTCAAGGCCATATGGTGCTGAAGCCAGGATTCTGCCCAGGGTTTGCCTAGTGGCAACTCTGTAACCCTCCCATTACTACGGTTTTTAGAAAAGTTTCTAACTGTGCTTTCAAAGCAATCTTCAATTGACCGTCTGTGACAGAGTAGGTCTGTTATCCATTCCACAGATGAACCAGCCAAGGCCCTGAGCCAGCCCTGCAGGTGAGGCATGCTTTAGTTACAGGGTAAATCTACAGTGCAGCTGGGCCCAGCCACAGGGCCTTGCAAAACTGGCCCTGGGTTCTCTGACAGCTGCTGCTGTGGGCTCACCGGTGCACCTGAGGAGCTGCAGTCCAGGCCCGGTTTTGCACCAGGCCCTGCTGAGGCGTCTCCTCCTCCTCCACCTCCTCAGGGCTGGGGCAGTTGCTGCTGGGCCAGTCAGCCTTAGTCCCCCGCTGCTCTTCTGGGCTCTGAAACTTCTTCCTGAAGAGCTGGAGTTGCCTTCGAAGTTGTCCTCCCTGCTGGACCCCTACAGGTAACACACCTCCCCTGTCAGTGGCCTAAGGGACAGGCACTGCCACCTGGTGTCCTGAGCATACTGTGGCACCTCGGGAGCTTGGGGTGGGGGAAGTGCAAGCAAGTTTATGACTCTGGCCTGCCAGGCAGATTGACATACTTTTTGTCATCAAAGGGTCCTGTGATGTTACTACAGGGTGGGGGGTACCAGGCGCTTGATCTGCCTGTGAAAGAGGCTTCTTCGAGGCCCACAGCCCAGACCAAGCAAACCTGTAAGACAAGGCCAGGCCCAGTTCTGCCAAATGTCTCTCCACCTTCACACACATACATCTGGTGGTCCCCAGGGCACTAGAGTACACACCACAACATAGCCTGGGCCAGCCAACCACACAGGAAGAAACGCACACACCCACATGGCTCTATCTCCCAGAGAGTCGCTGCATATACCATCTACGCTCCTGCAAGACATGTAGTGTCACACAACACAGTGAGTGCTTAGGCTCAGATGCTATACTATCCCCCGGCCTGCAGGCATGTCTTCCTGTTAATGCAGTAGTTCAGTACAACGCAGCAATGCTCACATATCATGCAACAGAAGAGTCCCAAACTGGCTTCTTGCTGGAACCCCAAACAGCCATTTAGGGAAATAGTCGCTGTCAGCACAGCACACAGGCATCTGCCCAGGGCTCTGCAATACAGATGTGCAGAAACCCCCAGAGGGAAAGCAGGGTAGGAGAGAAGGCTTGCTTGCTGTGCTTGGACCCTGATTCATCTGGGAAGGGACAGGGGCAAAAGGAGACAGGCACAAGCCAGAACCCGCCCCTGAGTTGCCCTAGTCCTGCTTCAGCCCCATCTGGAGGCCTGGCACGGAAGGGGTGGGGAGGAGAGGAGAGGCCAGCTTGTGAGCCCAGGCCAGGGCCACTACTGAGTGCTGGGCCCTTGCCACGTCCACATGCCCCTCTCAGCTGGCAATGTTTTCCTTCCGGAGTGGCTGAGGTGCCTGGGCATGAGTTGTTTTGCCAGCTGAAGCCTCCAGCCAAGTTTGGGGGTTGGGGAGCCCCTGTAATCAGAGGGGCTCAGAATCTCCTTTAAGTAAAAGGGTAGGGCTGTTGTCGGGGAATCTCAGGGCGGGTGGCCTCAATGGAATTGAGCTCTGCGGTTACCTTGTGGGGGAGGAAGTTGGGGGTGAGGGTTGGGGAGGAGGTTGCCTCAGACAGGAAGGCCAAATGGGCCAGGGCAGGGTGGAGGGAGGCAAAGGCAGAGGCAGGCTGGGTTGGGAGGCTCCCTGGGTAGGGCCATAAGCATGACTTGTGGAGAAGGCTGGGTGTGCATTTGCATGTTTGTGCAGGTATATTTTTGCATTTTGTTAAGAATCAGGTTATACTATGTGCAGAGTACTGACTTTGTGGGAAGGAGCTGTCCTTGGCTTCAAGGAGTTCACAGCCAGGTTAAATGGGCTCTGTGTGTGTGTGTGTGTGTGTGTGTGTGTGTGTGTGTGTGTGTGTGTGTAAAAGCCAGAGAGATCTGTGACTATGCAGGGACTTCTTGGATGGAGGTGGATACTTGTCTCCTTTGTGTGGTCATACTGTGAGCAGGTTTAAAACATTGTGCACACTTCTTGGGCACGAGTCTCTTGTGTATATGTGCACAGTTCCGTCATGAGGAATGTGTGTACGTTACCTGTATTTGACCAGGTATCCTTGTACCCATGTGACTGCTCTTAGGACAGTGAGTATACATATCAGTGTGTCCTTAAGGGTGTACATACGAGTTCTGTAGCCTTCTTACCTTACTTTGACCTGGCCTTCCTTTGATTGCTCCTATTACTCCAGTATGAGCTTGGGAGAAAACTGGCAGTTGGCTCCAGATGTGCTGTGTATCTGAGAAGACACTGACCCTTGCTCTATCCCCAGGAAGCTACATATGCCCAGCTGGGGCACAACCCCAGCTGATGCCCCAAAGAAGCCACACATCTCAAGAGAGGTTTTGGGCCCTGCCCTCCCTCCCCATGGCACATGGGCCAGAACCTGAAGTTGAGGGATTGCTGGACCTCAGCTTCCTGACAGAGGAGGAACAGGAGGCCATCACTGATGTCCTCAAACGAGATGCTCACCTGCGCCAACTGGAGGAGGGGCGTGTCAGGTGAGACAGGACAACCACCAGCCAGAAGGAAGGGAGCCAGGGTCCTTGGAGGCTGCCTGGTTGGGTCTGGGTGGTTCTTGACTCTACCCTTTGGTCTCCACTGACTTTGGCCAGCTCTGTGTCATCCATCACTTCTCCCATACCTGTACCAGGTCCTCTTCAAGCCTCGCTGTCTGTGGGGTTTCCCACTCTGGTTACCACCTTGGGACAGGATACTTTGGTGGACAGGTACCACCTGTCTTTATACTCTGCTGGACCCTCCCCAGACCTCAGAACAGCATGTCGGAGCCTTCGGGTGTGTTCACAGGTCACCCTGATTGGTCCCTGTCTCCCCATCTCATCCACTTCCCTATAAGCCCCACCCACATAACATAAAGCTACTATAGCCATGTGATGTTCCCCAGTCCCTGAATGCTCTTCCCTTCCAAGCCTAAGATGCTCCTTCTCCCAGGAAGAGCAGCAGAGGCAGAGGCCCTCAAGAGTGACAAGCACTGTCTGTGGACAGCTGTATAAACTTCAGCAGCTGCCTTATCTTGAACCTTACCTTCCTCAGCTAAAACTAAAACTCAGCTAAGGGGCTGGGAGACAGCTCTGCAGGTAAAGCACTGTCTGCATGGGCTTGAGGAAGAATTCAGTTCTCCAGCACCCACAGAAATGCCAGGGTGGTATGGTGGCCACCCATAGACCCAGTACTTGGGCAATAGTGATAGGAAACTTCTGGAGCAAGCTAGGCTCACCAAATCAGTGAGCTCTGGATTCAAGTGAGAGACTTTCTCAGCTAGACAAGGATGGGCCAACTTCAGTTTCTGATCTCCACATGCACATATATGCGTGTGACCACAAACATGGGAACACACACATGCACTCACACCACACATACATGTGCAATAAATAAAGGATCAAGCATGGCCCACAATAACCACTTCCTGAATAGTGATTATTATGCTTTTCAACCTGGAAAGTTCCAATTTGTTCTTTAAGAAATGATTCCCACAGAAGGCCTTCTTACCTCTATCACTATACTGATCTATTCTGATTCTGTCTTCTTAGTAGCCTGAGTGACTCCAGGGCAAGGGGCAAGTGTGATTTGCTGTTGAGTCCCTGGTCCAGAGTGGGTGTTGAGTAGTGACAGCCGTGTCCTCCACTATCCTCTAGCAAGCTCCGAGCCTCACTGGCAGACCCCGGGCTGCTGAAGACCCTGACAGGGGATTGGTTCCAGGAAGCACGCTCCCAGCGGCATCACCACGCCCACTTTGGGTCAGACCTTGTCAGAGCCTCTATCCGAAGGAAGAAGAGCTCCAGGGGTGAGGGGAGACCCCAAGGCAGGGAGGGGAAGCTTTGGGAAAGCCGGGAATAGAGGCTGTAAATAGTCAGGACTAGGCTTTGGGTTCTAGTCCCAGCTGCCCCCATACTGAGTGTCTGAGTAGCCCTGCCCCTCTGCGGGCCATAGAAGTGGATGGGCATCTCCCATGGGCTATGCCAATATGGGGCTTTTGGAGGATGGAGGCTCACAGAATTTCTCACCTGAGCCCAGGGGACCAGGCTCTGGGAAGTGATGGCGAGGCAGAGGCTGCTGGGAAAGAGACCACTGAAGAGCCGGAGCCCAGGTGAGAAGGCAGCGTGAGAGGAGAGGGAGCTGCCGGTTGCTCAGCCCTAAAAATTCCGACTCCCTCCTTCTAGGGTCTCCATAGAGGTGGCTGTTCCAGAGAGGCACAGTGGGACCCAAGTGAGTACCAGTGACTGGGCGAGCTCATGGCAAGCGCACCGTGGTTCCAAATTGGGGTCAGTGTGCTAGGGAAGGAACCTCCATTACCGGGAATCAGGGGACTTAGACAAGTCCCTTCTGTTCTCAGGGCTTCACCACCTTGATCAACTGTGGCTTTAACCAACTTTTAAGGCAGTTGTGAATCCAGCTATTAAGAAAAAGGCTGGGTCAGGCGGGAGTGTCACACACCTTTAATCACAGCACTCGGGAGACAGAGGCAGGTAGATCTCTTGAGTTTGAAGCCAGAGGCCAGCTTGGTCTACAGAATTACACAGAGAAACCCTGTTTTGAAAGACCAAAATAAAATAAATAAATAAATAAAAATAAAAAAGAATAAGGCTTGGGGCTGGAGAGATGGCTCAGTGGTTAAGAACACTGCTTGCTCTTGCTCTTCCAGAGGTCCTGAGTTCAGTTCCCAGCAACCACATGGTACACAACCAGATCTGATGCCCTCTTCTGTCATATAAAGTCACACATGCAGATAGAGCACTCGTATACATAAAAATAATAATTAAAAAAAAAGGCTGAAGCTGGGGACTAGGTGGGGGGTGGCACATACCTGTAATTACCTATAATTCCAGGTAGAGACAGGTGGATCTCTGTGAGTTCAAGGCCAGCCTAGTCTATAGAATTCCAGGATAGGCTGCAAAGCTACAGAGAAACTTGTCTCGAATCCCTCTCCCCACCCCCTGCCTCCCCAGAAAAGAAGAATAAGGCTGTAGCTCAGCTGGTAGAGTGCTTGCCTAGCATGCTTGAAGACCTGGGTTTCATGCGTGCACACACACACACACACACACACACACACACACACACACACACACATACACACACACACCATACCACATAATCCAGGCATGCTGGCGAACACCTGTGACCCTGGCACTCAGGAGGTAGAAACAGGAGTTCAAGGCCCTCCTCAACTACACATGAGACATGAAGCCAGTCTACTACAAAAAGATAGGGGTTGGGCTGAGGAGGGTGAGGCTGAGGCCAGGGACTCAGATGTTATGGCCCCTACTACATGAACCTACGAGTCAGGCTGCCACATCAGGAGAGACAGGCCTTGGGATGCCAGGGTGTGAAGTACAGGCCTGACTGGTCCTGCAGCTGGTAGCCAGCCCTGCCCTGAGGGCAGCCCAACTCCAACAGTGAGGTAAGCAGCCTGGAGTCTCTGACCTCTGACCCTGGCATAACCCTTGACCCCTTCCTCATTAACCCCATCATGACCTCTACCCTTTGCTTTCTTCAGGGACCCGATTTCCCCTCACCATATGTAGCCTCAACCGCTTCAGGTCACGAGGATGAGCCCCAGGCCGGGGAAGGTGAGTAGGAGGGTGTGCTGAGGAGCAACAGATGTTGAGGCAATGATCAGAGGCAGGAGACCCCCCCACGTTTACCTTCCTCCCGCCCTACCCCCACCGCAATGGGCCACCCCAGGTCACCACTGGGGTCTGAAGCTAACCTGTGACTAGAGGTGTGAACGCGTCCCTCCATATTTGCTTAGGGACACACACAGGTGAGGGGCTCTCTCAGCAGCCTGTCCCTACTCCAGACCCTGGCAAAGGGGGTACGCAGGTAGCAGAGACCGATCCAGCGGTGGATCCTGAGCAGAGGGCGGAGCAGGAGACCTGGCCCTCGGCTGCACAGGTAGGCGGTAGGCGGGAGTAGCCAGTGGCTGTTCTCAACACCAGGAGCGGATTCCAGATCGAGAACGTGACTGCCCCAGGGATGGGAACCGTGGGTGACACCTGCACGGTCCAGGGAGGTCCAGAGAAGCAGAGGGTGCCCCTGTCACTTCTCCCTCTCCAGATCCAGGCGACCTCCGAGATCCAGGAGAATGGGGAAGAGGCCCCGGGGCTCGGCCCTTCCCTAGACCGCATGCTCAGCAGCAGCTCCTCCGTGTCCAGCCTCAATTCCTCCACGGTGAAGGACTAGGGAGGGGCTGGGCAGGGTGCCCAGGCAAGTCCCGCAGTGGGAAGCCTGCCTGGGACCCTGACCTCCCACCCCACCCCGCCCGCAGCTGAGTGGCAGCCTGATGAGCCTGTCTGGGGAAACTGAGGCTGGCACGGTACAGGTGCGAGGCTCCGTGCACTTCGCGCTGCGTTATGAGCCCGGCGCTGCAGAGCTGAGAGTACAGGTGATCCAGTGTCAGGGGCTGGCTGCCGCCAGGCGTCGCCGCTCTGACCCGTGAGTGCCTACCCTACAGGTGGGCTGCGGGGGGGGGGGGGGATGCAGGGGGTGGGGGTGGGATGGGGTCCTTGCCTTGACCTGGACTCAGTTTCCTCCTCTTAAAAAAACGGGAATGGTGTTAGTGGGAGGCATGCTAAATTGGATGCCGGTTAATTGATTAGCATCAGGCCACCACTCCGGGTGTGAAGTCCAAAGCTGGACGAAGGCTCTGGAAGGGCCCCCATCTTACTCCAGCCTTCACCTCTCTCGCCCAGCTACGTGAAAACCTACCTCCTCCCTGACAAGCAGAACAAGCGCAAGACATCCGTGAAGAAGCGGAATCTGAACCCGATCTTCAACGAGACTCTGCGGGTGAGGCAGCAAGGGTGTCCCCCCCCCTTCACCCCCACCCCCGGCAAAAGAGCAGGGTGCCCTTTGCAGCGGAGTGAGTGGCAGGGTCTGCCCCATTAATCTTGCTGGTGGCTCTGGGCCTTGTTCTGAGTGGAATGACAGGGCCGCGCTGGTTAGTGCAGTCCAAATCCTGGCAATCTGTTTGGGCAGTGATAGTAAGACCCCAGTTAACCCAGAATCAGGATTCCACCCTGGAAAGGAACTTGGCGAGACCAGCGCTAGTCAGCAGGCAGGGCCCGCCACTGAAACTCACCTCCTGTGCCCAGCACTCTGTCCAGCAGGCTGATCTCCCAGGCCGGGTGCTGAACCTGTCCGTGTGGCACCGGGAAAGTCTGGGTCGCAACATCTTTCTGGGAGAAGTCGAAGTGCCCCTAGACACGTGGAACTGGGACTCTGAGGCTGCCTGGCTCCCCCTGCAGCCCCGGGTAAGGACTGTCTACAGGCCGCCAAGCACCTGCAGACCATTCCACAGAACCTCACTCAGCCTCATACTGGCTGTTACCATTAGGCAAGGCTTGCCAGCCAGGGAGCCCGTTCTTGGGGAACATTGCCCATCGGGCTCCTCAATGGAGGCCCTGTCCCCAACACCTTTCCCTCAACCACCTTATCCCAACTGCCTCTGCAGATGCTACCCTGTGGCCTGTTACATCGCCGACAGGTCCACTCTCGCTTTTTCAGGTTCCCCCATCTCCAGATGAGCTTCCCAGCCGTGGACTCCTCTCTCTGTCCCTCAAGTACATCCCTGCCAGCTCAGAGGGTAAGTGACTGCCCTGTGAGAGCCAACCTGGATAGGCCCCTGGGAGGTGGGAGACCTGTCCCATGAGGTGGTGGTCTAAACTGGGGTGTCCCCACAGGAGGAGGACAGCCTCTGAGTGGGGAGCTTCACTTCTGGGTAAAGGAGGCTCAGGGCCTTGTGCCACTGCGGCCAGGATCGCTGGACACTTACGTACAATGGTGAGAGGCAGTGAGATGTCACTCTTCCTTCTGCTCCCAACCTCTGACCAACCTGTCCCTCCACCCAAGATCGGTCACCCTGAGCAGGGGTGGAAAGTGATCATTTGGGCAAAGCGTTGGAGTTAGGGAATGGGGGTGTGCACAGTTGGAGGGGTGCTTGCTTAGCATGCATGCATGGGGTCCTGGGGTGGAACCCCACAAACCGCATAGCTAGAAGTACACACGAATCAGTTCAAGGTCATCCATGACTACACAGGATATATAAGAGCTTGTCTTAAAATAAAAGTTTAGGCTAAGCATAGCGACATGGGTTTTTTAATCCCAGCACTTGGGAACCAGACACAGGCGGATCTCTGTGAGTTCCAGGCCAGCCTGGTCTACAGAGCCAATTCCCTGTCAGCAAAGACCACAGAATAAGACCCTGTCTTACAAAAATGTTGGAGGTCAGGGGAACTGAGGAGCTGTGTCTTAGGGTTTCTACTGCTGTGACATAACACCGTGAGCAAAAAGCAAGTTGGGGAAGAAAAGGTTTGTTTGGCTTACACTTCCACGTTGTAGTCCATCACTGAAGAAAGCTAGAACAGGAACTCAAACAGCAGGAACCTGGAGGCAGGAGCTGACACAGAGGCCATGGAGGGTGCTTACTCCCTCTGCTTTCTCATAGAACCCAGGACCACCTGTATGCGGGTGGCTCCGCCCACAATAGAATGGGCCCTTTCTCATCAATCAGTATTTAAGGAAGTACCCTGCAGGCTTGCCCATAGCCTGATCTTACAGAGACATTTTCTTCCTTTCCTCTTCCTTTTCCGTTTTGTTTTGTTTTTTTGAAACAGGGTTTCTCTGTATAACAGCTCTGGCTGTCCTGGAACTCAATTTGTAGACCAGTCTGGCCTCGAACACAGAGATCTACCTGCCTCTGCCTCCCAAGTGCTGGGATTAAGATGTGTGCTCAGCACCACCTGGCATGGAAGCACTTTCTTAATTGGAATTTCCCTACTCTGATGACTCCAGCCCAGTGGTTCTCAACCTGTGGGTCACAACCCCTTGGGGGGTCAAAATATCAGCTATTTACATTACGATTCATAACATTAGCAGAATTACAGCTATGAAGTAGCAGTAAAATAATTTTGTGGTTGGGGTCACCACAACATGAAGAACTGTATTAGGTCACAGCATTAGGAAGGTTGAGAACCATGTTCTAGTCTGTGTCAAGCTGACTTAAAGTCAGCCAGTACAGCCTTCATTCTGTGGAGACTGTACCCCATAGCACTTACTACGATGGAAAAGCCACAAGGCCCCTTCTCGGAAATCTTGGAAGGACAAGCTGTGTAGCTTGGCCCTGAACTTGTGATTCAGTAGCTGGTGATTATAGTCTTTCAACATGCTGGGGACTGAACTCCAGAGGTACACTGAGCAAGTGCTCTACCACCGAGCTGCACCCTCTGTCCTATGGTTTTCAAAGTAAGCTTTGGAGAAACTAAGCATTTCTGGGTGTTCCCTCACCCCGAGGAGGACGGAGGTAGGCCACTCTGATTTGGGGTTCCCGTTCTGTCTTTCTGTTACTGTACATCAGAGTTAACATCTGCAGAATGGTTCAGTGGCTTTGGAAACCATGGAAAGCTGGGCAGGGAATACTGAAGGTCATCGGACCAGGATGCAGCAGAATTGCATTTCAGCCACTTCTCTGGGATCCCATAAACAGTTACCAGTTTCAAGAGAGATGACTAAGAAAAATTGGTGTAAAAGGGTGGGGCATGGTGACTGGTTGGCTTGGCTGGTGAGTGTCAAGGGGTGGGTCACTTAATACAAGCCCTCATTTCTTACCTGTCACAGCTCAGTGCTACCTGACGACAGTCGAGCCAGCCGCCAACGTACAAGAGTGGTTCGAAGAAGCCTCAGCCCTGTGTTCAACCATACCATGGTTTATGATGGCTTTGGGCCTGCCGACCTACGCCAAGCCTGTGCTGAGCTCTCCCTGTGGGACCATGGGACCCTGGCCAGTCGCCAGCTGGGGGGCACACGCCTCAGCCTTGGTACAGGTGAGCAGAGCAGGACCCAGAGGGAAGCCAAGCTTGGAGGTATGGGCTCCATGAGTGGCCTTGAGCACTTCATTTCCTCTGTGTGTATGTGAGAGAGAGACAGGGAGAGAGGGAGGGAGAGAGGGAGGGAGGGAGGGAGAGAGCGTGCACACGCTCAAGCTCACCAGGCCTGGCTGTCCTGAAAGTTTGTAGGCCAGGTTGGCTTCAGACTCAGATCTGCCTGCCTCTGACTCTCAAATACTGAGATTAAAGGCGTGCACCACCACGCCTGGCTTCGTTTCCCTTAAACTGCCTTCAAAGAGCCGGGGGTGACTGGGTACAGTGCATAATCTGGGGCCAGAGTGTCTTTTTTAGGGACCTGATATCCAAGGTGACAGTTCGGCTCACTCACATGTAGGCAGCAGCTATGGCCTCCAAGTGCCCTGGATGGATTCCACACCTGAGGAGAAGCAGCTGTGGCAGACACTCCTGGAGCGGCCATGTGAGTGGGTGGATGGCCTTCTGCCTCTCAGAACCAACCTGGTCCCCAGGGCATAGCCCTGTCAAACCCCTCTGTGTACCCCCACACAAAGCACAGCTATGGCTGGAGTAAATAAAGTCTGTTTACAGAGCTACTGCCCATTCAGCAGGGGATGAGGTCTGAGCAGCAAGGCACAATCATGAAAGAGCCCAGGGAGTGAGAGGAAGTCACTCAGACACGCAGACCTCGAGGGGCTGCTCCTTGGACACGCCCCTCCCCACTTCTGAAGTTGCTAAGACAAACATGGTAGTGAGCATTCTGTTTAATAGTCTGTAATTGTATGCAGCGTCCCTGGATGTCGCCCTCATTAGCTCCACCCACTTCGGTTGGGCCCGGGTCCTGCAGTTGCTCGTAGGTGCTGGGACAAGTGTGTCAGAAGCTGTTTGTGTCTTCTCTGTTCATCCATCCATGGCTGTGTCCTTTGATGGCATCATTCAGCCTCTCGGGGGCCAGAGGTAACTGGTGTGGCTCCTGCTCGCTGTGCCAAGATGGCTCTCCAAATTCGGCATACCATCCCTCCCCTGGGGACATCAGGGGGTCAATGTAATTCATCCTGAAGAAGGCCTGTGCTCTCTCTTTAGGAACCACTATGCACAGGGGACCTTGGTTCCCCTGTGGTCTGCAGGGAGCAATCAAGGCAGGCTCACAGCTGTGTGTGGGTGTGGGAGCGCAAGTCAAGATATTGCTACCAGGTGTACATGGTTCATCCCTAGAAGGGCCAAGATGTACCTGATTTTGGTGTAGATGAGGTCATCTTGGGTGGCACAGGTGAGCAAGGTCTGAAGGGTGAAGCTATGGCTCAGGAGCTGGTTGTAAACCAAGAACCACAGAAACAAAGATAAAGTTACAAAAAGATAGAGCCAGAAACTCAGGTTCCTGCTTCTTCCTACGAAAATTCTCAGGCAGGTTATTTCCCCTCGATGGCCTCAATTTTCCCATCTGTATAATGAGAGGAGCATACTAAGAGCCCTTCCAGAATTGAATGCCTTTGCAGCAGGGGGGGAAAAATCTTCGAAGAGCTGGAAGACAAACTGAGGTGCCACCTTTGGTTGGTGGGGGTCAGGGACGGCCAGCACACACTTGCTCACCGTTTGGATAGTGGCTGGGTCTACACTCAGTTCCTGTAGCCATTGTACCAGATTCTGGTCCTTTGAGAGAGTGGCTGTCAAAAAGTCAGGTCATGAGTCCAAAGGTGTTCCCTGCTAGAAGTGGCCTTACACTAACCCAGTCAGGTCAGCTCACCTGGGGTCTCTGAAGCCCGGGCATACGACTTGGTCTCTGCATGCAGCCGATGTAGGGCCTGGTGCATCAGGGTCTGGCACTCCCGTTCCTTCTCAGCCAGGATATCTCGAAGCCTGTGGGGAGGCAAAGAGGTGTGTGTGTGGGGGGGGCAAGAATGGAATGATCTGAGGGTTGAAGCCTGTACAGCTTGTTCGGGTGATTCTAAGAGGGTTAACCTATCAGTTTCGGCTCGCAAGAGACCCAGCTGCACGGTCAGTGGTGGAGGCCCCTGTTCTGGTGGGAGCTGGCTCTGTAGCTGCTGGCTCTCCAGCGGTTTCTGCTGGGACTCCGCTTTACTCCACTCCTCTGACTTCGTTGAGACCGCTTTCTTTTCCATCTCTGCCAATTCGAGTGGGTTGAGTTCAAGGTTTAGGACCCCAGACGGCCCCGGGAATTGGAAGGGGGGGGGGTAGTGACCAAACAATGCAAATCAGAGTCCTTCCAGACTCACAGAACTCGCCTCCAACCACCCAATTTTATGTCCGCCACGCCCCGAGGGCCACACCCACCATGGCCACACCCCCAGGTCGGCTTGGGGGTTTCAACCCCGCCTACCCGCATCCAGCACAGCCAACGCCGCCCGTACTGCGCGGCTGAGCAGCGAGTCCAACACGAACATCCAGTGTGGGCGGATCTGGCGTCTGCGGAGGATCCGCTTCACCTGGGGAGGGAGGAAGGGCGCGGCTGAGACAGTTTGAACCTCAAACAGAGGTGGGGCTTGAGTTGCAAAGCCTTAGAAAGTCTACTGCAGAAAGGTGTGTGGGGGGGGGGGGGACTTGGGATCAAGGGCTGGACTGGGAACCAGGACTGGACAGACGTGCTTTTTCCCGGAAGCCATAGAATCCTGGAACATCAAGTCTTGGCAGGAAACTCACGTCCTGTTATTGCACAGCCCAAACTGCTAGGAAGCTTCCTCACCGCTTCTGGAAATGCGAAGAGCGGCCCATTCAAAAGTGCAGGCCCCAGGCCCTGGGCCCGCAGCTGAGCTTGCAGGACTCTCAGCTCTTGGGCCAGCTGCCTGCGGTTAGGAGTGTGGATTTGTGTCCCGAGACAGTGAAGCAGCTGTTCCACATGATTCCTGTTGAGCCGAGAATCCTAGGGAGAGAGGGAGCGTCCGTGGGTGTTTCTATCCGCAGTCAACCTAGATGTTCGCTGGTGGGCCATCAGTCCTTATCCCGCAGCCTGACCACCAGGGGGCGCTGGGGCGGGCCGCCCACCTGTTCCTGCTCCAGTAGATTCTCTGCCAGTGTGGGCAATTCCTGTTCCAGCACCGAGGCCAGCATGGCCCGGCGCTTGCTCTCCTGATGCAGCAGACTCAACCCCGAACTCTCTTCAGGGGATGCGGGTTCCTCGGCTGCGGGCTCCTCAGGCACACTGCGCAAAATGGAGAGCATCAAATGGAGGGTGGGCAACACCATGCAGCCACCCCTGCTGCAGGGTTTCAATCCTGGCCTTTTTTTTTTTCTTTCCTTCTTTCTTTTTCTTTTTTACTTTTATGCCTACTTCATGGGGATAATAGAAATTAACTCCGGCTGGAGTTGGGCAGAGTAAATGCAACATGCATCTGGGAGAGGGTAGGAGGCAATAGATGTTGTCCTTGTAAGTGGTCAGTGTTCGGGACCCTGGGAGGCCTTTTCTGGAGGAAATGAATAATAGGAAGGCAAAACCAGATGAAGGGAACCTACTCCAGGACTCTAGGCGCTCACCGGAGCTGGCTGGTGTCCCCATAACTAAGGCAGCGCTTTGGGGAGTTGGGTTGGTGCTGAGAGGGTGCCTGGGGTCTTGGGAATGTCTGAGACTGGGTGGCTGAGTCAGCTGAAGGACTGGGACCAGTGGAAGAGGTGCCTGAGGGAGAGAGCAGCTATCAGCCTCCTCAGCACCTCAGCCCTCCACCGTGTTCTCCCCCTCCACCTGCATGGCACCTGGGGGCTGGGGTGTATGTCGAGGAGAGCTGGGGCTCCGGCTCCTCTTCCCTGGCTGCAGGAAGGGGTCGCCCAGCAGCTCTTGGGCACTGGCTCGGAGGTGGGGATCTGGTTCAAAAGTCCGGAGGAGGAAGGCTTGGGCCTCAGCTGACAGGGAACTGGGTACTGGTGGATGCACCTTGTACATGCCCACCTATGGAGGTGGGGCAGCAGGGTAAACCCAAGATTAGACATGTTCAAGGCCCTATCTGGCTCCACCTTCCCTCCGCAGGCCACACCCCAGAAGGACTCACCTGAAACATAGCAGCCTGCGGGCTCCCTAGTTCATGGAAGGGTGGTCGGCCTGTGGCCATCTCAATCACAGTGCAGCCCAGAGACCAGATGTCAGCAGCTTTCCCATAGCCTCGTGGGCCCTGGTCAATGATTTCAGGAGCCATATACTGCAGAGTCCCTAGAGCATGAATAGGGAAAGGCAACCCAGGTCTCAATGTCTCCACCATCCTTTGGCCACCCACACCCATGGTGAACCCATCATCTCAGGTAGTGGGCGTCAGATCCTGTCTTGAGTTTCATCATCCACCTAGGCTTCATCACCTGCCTTTATCCTCCATTCTTTAAGCTAGGCTGTATGGCATCCAAAGACTCCATCAGCCACAGGACAGTTCTGGGTTGCACATGATATTGCACTCCCCCAACACACACTGCCTTACATCCATGCCAAATGCCAAATGCATTTTTATCAATTTCCAACCTCAAAGTCTAGATTTTATCACCTCTCCCTGGATCTAGTCACCTGTCCCCAGATTCCATTCACTATTAGGTCTGTAACTCCATGCCCAGGAGAAACTCCATTCCCCAGAAGTCTCCAAGAGTTCGACACCCACCCACATCCCCACACTCCCACCCTGTTACCTGTGAAAGTCTCTGTGCAAGGTGTGATGCCTGCCAGCCGCTTGGAGGTGCCAAAGTCAGAAATCTTAAGCAACCCACTGAAGGTGTTGATCAATACATTGTCCCCCTGATTGAAATGGGCACTGGGATTGGCCTCTGAGATGAACTAGGCTCCCCATCATCCTGAGACCCAAATTTCCTGGGCATTACATCCTGAGTCATGCTCTATTGTGTCCCCCCCCCCCCTTCTTGGAGCTGGTGTCTGCTCTGGCTTCAGACATGACTTTCCCTCCTTTAAGGGACCTCTCTGTTAGATCCCCACCCTTTGAAGAAGTGTGTTCTTCCACTCCACATTGCCAGCTGCAATCCGGCACAGTATCTCCCCACACCCAGCAGGCCAAGTGGACCAGCCACAGGGCTAACCTTGATGTCTCGGTGCACAATGCGATTCTCATGGAGATAGCTGAGTCCCTGTAGGATCTGACGTGTGTAGTAACTAATAGTACTTTCGTTGTCCTTTAGGGGTCCCCACACTGACCTAAGCAAGGAGGACAGACTGCCTGGGCAGAGACAATCCAAGTTAAATTGATACCTACTTACTCTGCTCACATAGCTCTGCTGAAGGGTCAGGCACACCCATTCCCATGACCCAGGCTCCCATCACCAAACCCACTGTCTGCTAATTCTAGCTGACACACACCCACGCTAGAATTCATTTCCCCTTAGGGTTTGCCACCCCTGTCTGGCTCCATCCCCATGCCCCACACCTTAGGTTTCACTCCCTCCCACGCAGGGCTGGTACCTCCAGGCACTTCCTCCATGAAGATCTTGAGGTAGCCACCCTGGCTAGCAGAGCCCAGATAGCGCACTATATTCTTGTGGCGTAGTCGTTTATGAAGAGCGATCTCTTCATGCAGGGGCTGAGAAAACCTGGGAGTGTAGAGGAGAGAGCAATGAGCAGGATGTGAGCAGAAATAACCCCCCACAGTCCTGTACCATGAGACCATGCTCCCAGAATCAACTTTGTACCCTTACTATCACCCCGCCCACAGGCCTCTTTCATCTGCCCTAATGTAAAAGCCACCATCCCCAGTCCAAACACTAACCAGTCATCTTTCCATGCCTACAGCCACTCAGTTCTCATGTTCATCCCCCCCACTCCACCCCATCCCCTCCACACGCCTGACTTGCTCATGCCCATCCTCCGGAGCCCTGGGACCTGAGTGAACGATGCACCCCACCTGCTATCCCGCTCTGGAATCTCCTTGATGGCTATTCGCACCCTCGTGTGCCTATCACGGCCGGCGTACACCACTCCATACGTGCCTTTGCCTAGCACGAGCCGCTCACCGGTTTCCAAGTATTCATAATCAAACTGAGGAATAGAGTAAGTACCCGGGTCAGCTGGTGCCGTTGCTCTTCACTGTCCTCCAGCCCCCAGTTCCACAGCCTCACCTCCAGCACCTCCCTTGCGCCCTCTGTCTCCTCCGTGGGTGCTGAGGAATCTGGATTCATCACCAAGACCTGAATTAGGCCACAGAACCTGAAGAAGGCAAACAGGTGGAAGGGGCAATCTGGAACCATCCCCCCCAGAGCCCCAGGCTGACCTCCTCCCTTCCTTTCCCTCAGTCCCCTGGGCATCCCAGCCCTAACTCCAAAAGGCTGAGCGCACCACTGGCATCGCTCTACACTGGGGAAGCACAACTGGACATCCTGGGCCGGAGGAAGTGCATACAGGAAGCAGCAGCGCTGGTCCAACTTGGAGGAACTAGGGAAGGAGAGAGGCCAGTGAAAGCCAGGCTTGGCAATGCAGGGGCTTGTGGGAAGGTTCTGCTTCTCACCTGATCCCACAGATGGAGGGGACCGGGAGGGTCCAGCTGGAAGAATCCTCCTGTAAGAAGAAAAGGTGTGTGTTGGGGGGGGGGCTGTTGTGGAGGTGCAGGCTCTAGAGAGGGTAGGAGAAAGGAATGCATAGCCTTGAGTGAGGGGGATCAAAGGGAGCTCACCTGAGGCTCCAGCAAGCTTAGGGTCACTGCGCTCACTGGGTCTGTCCCCTGAATGGCGAGCCTGGCGGGCAGCAGCACTTTGTTTATCTCCAGCACCAGCACCTTTAGGTAATCGGGAAGGGCTTGTCAGAACTCCCATGGTCCTTCCCTGGGTCCCTGGCTTCCACTGGCCTCACCAGGCACTGGTCCGCCTGAGGCGAGGCTGTCTTGAAAGGCTGACAGGACTGTAACAGGAAGTGAAGCCAGAAGTGAGCTCGCAGCAGGGGTCCTCCCGAGGGCTCCGCTGTGGGTCTGAAGTGCTGATACAGCAGGAAGGTCTCCATCACTGACACCAAGTACCTGAAAGCACACAGCCTCGGCCTCAACTCAGCCCAGGCACCGGCTGGTGCCTCCCCTCTGCATGTGGTCAGAGCGTGAGCAGAGGGTACCATGGGCAGTGGTATCGACACATTGGGGTCCTGACTGGACAAAGGTGAGCAATGAAGAAGGCCACATACCATATGGGAGCATTGAGCTTGTACAGCTGCTCCGCAGCCAGTACCACCTGGATGGGGTCATTGGCAAGGATCTGGGCTCCCAGGTAGAATCCCACATCCCAGTAATACTGCATCTTCTCCACACAGCCTTTGCGGGCTAGCAGGCAGCCCAGCTTCATGCCTGGGGAAGGGGGGCATGGGCTCCAGTGAGTGTAAGTGCAGGAGTGGGTAAGGCTCAGGTGAGGGCCACACTGTAGCCTACAATCACCGAGTGTGGACATAAACGTAGACATGGACCACAAGGTAGGTGTGGCAAGATCTTGGGTAGGAAGGTTCCAGCACAGGTGAGGGCTTGGGCACAAGGAGACGTGGGATTCAGTATGACAAACACAAGGGTGGGTTTGGGGAGAATGTGGGATTCAAAGGCTCCTGAGGCCCCAGTGTGGTTCTGAGCACAAAACAACCACAAAGCCTGTGAGTCAGTGCTTCTTGCTGCCCACGGTCCTTTCCTTGCCTTCTCCATAAGCCACTCTGGATATGTGGGCTGTTCTGGATATGGTGGGCTAGCAGCAGGGTTTACCGATCAACTGGAGCTCCTCGGAGTCTTCAAAATGCTGCCCAGCTGCAATGAGGAGTACTGCTGCATTGATGCCAGAATGCAGGCTGGGTTCCACGTCAAAAGCCTTGCGGTACCTGGAGTCAGGTTGGGCAGGGGATGCAGAGCTGGCTGGATGCCCACGGCCACATCCCTCAACCCCCTAGCTAGGCCCTTACCCACTCTCCGTGTGTATTACCAGTAATAGGCCTGCTCCAGGTGCCTAGCATTTTGGAAGCCAGAGCTGAAGAACATGTCCTTGTAGACACGACCGCACATGCAGTACAGATCCGGTGCCACAGGACCTTCATGCTGCACCAATGGTAACAGCACAGCCAGCGCTTTCTCCCGGTCCCCAGGCCTGTTCCTCCTAAGGCAGAGGAAAACGGGCTGAGGATGTCTGATGACTCTGGCCCACCCAGTTCTGGGACTTCGTAAGACCATTAACAGAAGGGACCCTTCTGGGGGCTTGGTATTCATAAGCCTCAAATGGTACTGGCCAGCACTGATCTCCAGAGTTAGTGACTCCCGGTGGAAGTGATTTCTAGTTGCAAACAACTGTAAGGAGTAGGACCTTGAGCAGCTATGGCCCTATCAAGGGGATGCCACCTTTTCTGTCCCCACCATGCAGCATTCCCCTAGACCAACAGGAGTCTCTTGACGTTAGTGCCCAGGTCATCAAATCCCTGAGGAACAGTGATTCCAGATACTACTACTCTTGCAGAAAACAGGCCACACACACACACACACACACACACACACACACACCAGTGACTCCACCTTGAACCATGCCCCTCCTCTCACCTGTTGAGGGCAAATGTGTAATGGAAGCAGACATTGTGCTGCTCAGTCACATCATAGGTGGGTAAGGCCTGCAGGGTCTCCACCAGCTCAATGATGGCAGAGTAATCCTGTGGGAGGGGACAGGCATCACCATGATGAGTCCTTGACAACGAGGAGAATCTTTTTTGTTGTTAGTTTTGTTTCTCAAGACAGGGTTTCTCTGTGTAGCCCCTGGCTGTCCTGGAACTTGCTCCATAGACCAGGCTGGCCTTGAACTCACAGAGATCTGTCTGCTTCTGCTTCCCCAAGTGCTGGGACTAATAGTGTGTGTAACTAACTACTCCTGGCAGAGGAAAATCTTGAGTCTGAGCCTGTCCCATTCCTGATACTCTCCTCCCATACCCTGAAGAATGTGCAGACCTCTCTCAGGCCAGGAAAACTCACAGACCATACTTCCCATGCAGAACCCTGTGTCGGGCATTTCTAACCTCACCAATGCCCTGTAAGGCAGTGACATCACCATCCCTCAAAAATAAGGAAATGTTTGCTGGAGAGATGGCTCAGCAGCAGTTAAGAGTGCCTGCTGCTCTTCCAGAGGACCAGGATTCGGTTCACACATACACACCATTAAAAAATAAAATACAGCCTGATGGCTCTGGTGATGGTGACGCACGCCTTTAGTCTCAGCACTCAGAGGCAGAGACAATCGGATCACCGTGAGTTCAAGGCCAGCCTGATCTACAGAGCGAGTTCCAGGATAGGCTCTAAAGCTACACAGAGAAACCCTGCCTCAAAAAAATAAAAAATAAAACACATCTTTAACAAATTAATAAAGCCAGCTATGGTAGTACATACATTTATTCTAGGACCCAGGAGGTAAAAGAAGGTGGATATGTAGGCCAGCCTGATCTACATATCAAGTTCCATGCCAGCCAGGGATACACAGTGATACTATGTTTAAAAAATGAATAGTATTAACTAAAACAAATAAGGAAATGGAGATTCAGGGAACTTTGGCAATTTACTTAAAGTCATCATCAAGGCTCAGCCAGAAGCTGAACTTGGATTTGTCAGGCAATAAATGCCTGTTATACATGATCTCTCTCTTTCTTATTCAGGTTTTGGCACAGGATCCCTTGTAGCTCAGGGTGGCCTCAAATTTTCTTGTAAATAGGATGACCACGAACTACTACTCTTCCTGACTCTACCATTTGAGTGCTGGGGTTATATCCTATGCCATGGTCTTTCAGGTTGCCACACACCTGTACATCTCGGTATGACAGCAACAGATTCATGATGATATCAGGGGTCAACAGCTCTACACTGTCCAGCCTCCTCTGCAGGCGAGCCAGCTCCTGACTCAGCTGCTGCCCACTGAACCGCTCTCGAGCCTGGCGGATATCCTGCCGAATGGTCTCCCGGAAATAGCCGCTGATGCCCAAGGCCAGGGAAGGAAGGGTGAGAGAATGATAAGCCTGTCCCTCAGCCCTAGCCCACTTTACCCTTATCAGCCTCTTCCTGGTGCCCCCTCCTTGTGAGCCCCATTACCAAGAGTCTGTGGGTGTGGCCTCCAGCAGGCGGGCAAGCCGGCCCACCAGGGGAGTAAGCAGGGCCTCAGTGCCCGCCCCAGCCTGTACTAGCCCATCAGCTATGCCCCTCAGGAGGCCTGCATCACCACATAACACCCGGCCAGAGGCTGTCACCACATAAGGGATCAGTGTGTAGCTGCCAACGCAATCCTGGTGGGAAGAAGGCAAGCAATCAGTGGAGATCACACACAGGTCAGCAGAGGGTTAGAGAATGACCAGAGATTAGTACCAGTGAAGATAGGAATAGCAGAAAAGGGCCATACTTTACAAGAGGAGGTGACATGGAATACAGGGTCACACTGGTGTCAGAGATAAATGAAGAGGCGGGAAGGTTAGTGGAGGTCAGAGGTCACAACAAAGCAGGAATGGTAAATTCTGCTCACCGAGTTCTTCTGGAAAACATCCTCCTGCAGGAGGCAGACAATCAGATACTGGCATTCTAGGAAGGCTGTACCCCAACCCACACCTGTCTCGACCACTCATCTGGCCACTTACACGCAAGGCTTGCAGATCAGGGAGCTCTGCTTGGGAACAGAGGAGCACATTGTTGGTCATGCTGAAGCTCTCCCGCACTCCAAGGTGGTAGAACAAAGAGGGTTGTGCCAGGGAGTTGCTCACCTCCAACACCACCACATCTGTGGACACAGAGGTGCAGATCTGAGTATTGATGGGGAAGCAGCCCAGAGATGTATGCTGCTTCAACTGCCTTGCCTGCACCTCCTGCCGGGTTCGGTTCTGCTGTAGGAAGCTTCCCAATGCTTTCACAATACTGGTGTTTCAGAAGATGCCCAAAGACTCTGATCCCACTGAGAGCCTGGAAGCCCCGGGGGACATCTGAGGGTGCTTCAGGTGGGCAGTTCCAGATAATGTAGGAGACAGGAATTTTGCAAGCACAAGTCCCATATTCTGGCTCCTCAACTAGTCTTTCTCTCTGTCTGTCTGTCTCTGGTTTATTTCATTTACATGTGAGTCAGTGTGAGTGTATGATAGAAGAGGGCATTGGATCCCCTAGAGATGAAGTTACAGGTGGTTGTGAGCTACCCCACCTGCCCACTAGGGACCCCATGTCCTCTGGAAAAGCATGCACTCTTAATTGCAGAGCCATCTCTCCAGTCTGGAAGCCAGGGTGTGTGAAGACAATACTGTGCTTTTACGTGTGTTTGTGTAGCTTTCTGAATCCAGCCATCTTTAAGTGACAATGTTTGCAAGGGAGGGACTGTATGAGTCAACACGGATGAGCCCATGACTGTATCTGTGGTCTGCTCAGGTCACGCTTCATTTTAAACCTGCAATCTCACAGATGTCCAGGAAACACGGTTCCCTGAATCTGGGATGAACAAATAGGGATGGGATGAAGCATCGGGTAGGTGGGAAAGAGGGATAGCCTTCTTTTGACCTCACCTCTAGCTGCCCTGTCCTTCCCCCACAACCACCGCTGTCCCACCCTTTCTCCTTGACTCCCAAGTCTCCAAAGACAATCACTCTCCTAGAATCCAGTCCGGATGGGTTGTCTAAGAGCTTCCTTTCCCTCCTCTTTAGCCCGATTCTTGGGTAGAGTAGTGCTAGGACTGCTCAACCTCAACCTTGTAGAGATGGCCCTTTGTCAAAGACCAAGCACCCTCCCCAGATTCACTTAGGAGTACCAAGTGAGATCATCCTGAAAACGCGTTCTCCGGCCTACGCAGAGAACCACAGCTCTGCCCCTCCCTCAGCCCCGCCCCTAGAGCTCGCCTGCACCGCCCCACCTGCTAGGCACCACGTTCACCTTAGAATACTTAAACTCCCGCCCAGGAGCCTGGCCTGGACTCTCGAGCCCCGCCACATCCATAATCCATCAAATTCGCTTGTTGTCACAGCCCTGTCTCAAATCCTGCTTTAGCTTACCCTAGACGCCATAGATCTGATACCAACGCCCACCCAATCAGGAGCCGCTGGGCCCCGCCTCTTGTCCCGCCCAAGCGAAGCCCCGCCCCCAGGGCTCACCGGCGTTGTAGAAGGAGTCGAGCGCCGCGGTGTCACCTAGAGCCAGCGTCGCGAAAGGCAGGCTGCGCAGCTGCGGGGGTGGCCGCGTGCCCTGGAGCTGAGCGCAGGCCTCGCGCAGGCATCGCAGCGGCAGCGGCTCTGCCTCGGTTCCCGCGCCGGGCTCCACCCCGGGCCCGGGCTCCCGGGTCAGCACGTAGACCACACTGAGCGGTCGGCTCCGCGCGCAGCCCCGACCCGCGACCGCGGGGGACGAGCGGCCCCGGCTGAGCGCCTCCGCCAAAGGGTCCTGCCAGCAGCTGCCCGCGCGTTCTAGAACCCCGGTCCCGGGACACGGCCCCGCCATGCGGGGGCGCTCGGGCGCCAGGCGCCGGGCGCGAGGGACCCGGGACAGGGCACGAGGCTGGGGATGTGGATCCAGCGATGAGCTGGACGTCTTGTTCCGGAAATCTGAAGTTCAGAGAGAAATCTTCGCTCAAACTTTCACGGCTCTTTCAGATCTGCAATACAGGACTGGGTTCTGGGAATCTCGGGTACCCAATAATCCTCGTCTCACAGGTCACAGAAGGATCCTGGAAATTCAACCGGCAGTGTGCGACACCCCGACTTCTCAAGGGAGTTCTGGCAGTCACTGTTCTGCCCTCACATGTAGGCTGGGCCCAGCCCTTTCCCGACTGGGAAAGCTCCACCCTCGGCCCTGGGGCAATGCGGCTCCCCAGCGACTCTCCCTCCCTCCTCTCCCGCTAGAACCTCTGACACTGTCCACTTCCGGAACAGCCTGTGCCCCTATTCGGGCCAACACTGTGGAGTGCTCCCTGCAGGCTCTCATAAGATGTATGACCCGGCCAGCGAGAGGGAACAAGAGGTCCCCTGGCCTGCAGCGATCTGGTGAAGGAATGGATCTCAGCACACGGGGCGGGGCGGGGGGGGGGGCACGGACACTGCAACTAATAGGTGTCCCATGTAATGTCCATGCTGGTAGGTAAGGGGTTGACGTCTTGAACTTTGACAGGCTGCTTTCCCCATAGCCTCACTTGCTGAGAAGCCATGCTGACTTTAGACTTCTAACCCAAACTGTAAACGTCCTAGCTACTCTTTGTAGGAAACTCCAGAAGCTCCATCTTTGGGGGTTACAAGAGCATCCCAGCTTCAAATTCACCGAAAACCTTTAACTTTCTAATATGAATTAGTGACTAAGGAATGAATTGGTATAAACCTTACTTACTGGACCCTGAACTTGGGAACTGGGGACTTTGGGAATCTGAGGTTGGATCTAAATTTAGGACTAAGTGTCAGCTTCTTAGAACCATGTTGCTGCCGTCATTTTTTTTTATGGTGGGGTTTGGGGCTAGAGACAGCTGTTCAAAACATTTGTTGCTCTTTCAGAGAACCCTAGTTTGGTTCCCAGCACCCACATGGTGGCTCACAACCTTATATGTAATTGTAGTTCCAGGGGATCCCATGCATTCTGACCTGAACAGGCACTGCACACACATGATGCAATACATACTTGCAGGCAAAATACTCATACACATAAATCTAAAACTATTTTAAAATAATATGTTGTGACTTTGGGCAAACTGACTGTTCCACAAATGGTAAGATGCCTCTATTTCAACAGCTCTGTTGCCTCATGAATGAAAAACATGCCTTCCTTGGTTTGAACCAATGGGATAGGCAAGAAGCAGAGATAGGCAAGAGGGAGAACTTGACCTATTACAGAGGTTAAAGTGGAAGACACACTTTACAAGAAACAAATAGGAGCCAGTTGTGGTGGCGCACGCCTTTAATCCAAGCACTCGGGAGGCAGATGGATCTCTGTGAGTTTGAGGCCAGCCTGGTCTACAGAGTGAGCTCCAGGACAGCCGGGACTGTTACACAGACTGTTACACACCTGAATCAAAAAACCAACCAAACAAACAGGAACCAGGGAAAGTATGAGAAAGCTGTGCAATTCCCATCCACAGCTCCATTCACATGTAGGGCTGTGAGCTGATGACTGCCTTGCATCCTCCCAGGGACAGACATCCCGAGGAGGCTGTCCTTCCACCCTCATTAGAAGTTCCTCCAGCTGGCCAATGGTGGTGCACACCTTTAATCCCAGCACTTGGGAGGCAGAGGCAGGCAGATCTCTGTGAGTTTAAGGCCAGCCTGGTCTACACAGTTCCGGGACCGCCAGGGCTACTCAAAGAAACCCTGTCTTGAAAAAGAAAAGCAAAACAAAACAACAAAAATCTTTCCTTGCATAGCACTGAAGCCAATGCCCCTGCTCTGTTTTCTATGGGATTTGTCCCTAGTAAGAAAAAGACCTGAAAGCCAGGAAAGGGTTACAGTGTGGACCAGGAAGCAGAGGCGGTTGGCAATGAGGTGGCTAAGGGAGGAAGCTATAAGGACTGATAAGGACACTGACAATTGGAGAACTCTAGCAAAGCATCTACCCACGCCTTTGCCTGAGGCCTAGTCATTGATGCTATGCTTACAGGCAGTGTCCACAGAAGCAGTGCAGTGCCCGATAGCATCTCTGTGCCACTAAGCACCAGGGACAGTCACCGCACAGTTGCCTTAACTTGAATCCTGGTCTGCTCCATAGGTCGTAAAAAGCTTCCCATTGTGGAAGCTCAGAGAGTCCTCGGCGGAGAGGAGCGGAAGGCACCTTGGCACCCTACAGTATGCCTGGTACCCTTAGAGATATTACTCCAAGGCAGCCTCCAAGCAGCAATGAAGTGGATGTTCTCAGTCTGCAGCAGCACCACGGACCCAGTTTTATTTGTCTGTTTGCCTATGGCCATTCAGCTAGTCAGGGGAAGTGGGACTTGAACTCAGGACTCTCTAGTTCCAAGGCCAAGCCATCAGTTTTCTCCAAGTCTTACTCTTCCAGAGTTCCCAATTTCTATCCAGCCTCTTTGTCTACTCTTAGCCCCAGTTAGCAGCCTGGGCAGCCATGTGCCAGGGAGAGAGCTGGGAGGAACCTCTTGGGCCTGGGCAGGAACGGGGGCTCCCCAGAGGCACCTCCTGTAACCACTTCCCCCTTTCAGACATCTCCCAGCACTCACTGCTTCTCTGCAAGAAGTCTCTGTGGTTCCTGGAGCACAGTGTTGATGCACAGCAAACTTCAGACAGCAGCCCTACCCCCACACTGTGTCCCCACTCATTTTGTACAAGGGGAAACTGAGGCTGTGATATAAAGGACTTGCCCAGAGTCCCATAGGAAGTACCAGCTGCACTCTGATGCTGTTTCTCCCTAGGGGAGGACTTGCTAATTCTTCCCCTCCAGGACCATCTTGTTTCAAGATTGCCATTTCCCAGATGAGAAAATCGAGGTGCACAGAAGGGAAGAGGTCCCCTAGCCTTTGTTCATGTATGCAGGGACAATGCCGAGAAACAGCCAGCCCCCCTGTTCGCCACTCCCTGTAGGCCACTCACCCGCAGTGCCCTCTAAGAACTTGCCCAGCACCCACTGGCTGTCCTCTACGGTTGCCGCTGAAGTCCTCCAGCTCCTTCTGTCCTTCCTGGGTCCCTGGGAGGGAGAGGAGGTTGGGGCGATAGGGATTTGGGAACTCACTCTCCAGAGTAAGCTAGTGAAAATTCTCAGTCTCCAGCCAGAACTCAGACTTCTGTCTCCCTAACCCTGCTTTGTAGGAGGACTAAGAGTGGGAGAAATCCACAGTCCTATGGCTTCTGGAATGCCTGTGCACCTGCTATGGCTCCAAACTAGCCTGGGGCACTGGAAGCCAGGGGAGGTGGCAGCTGAGGCTGAGTGGACGTGAGGGCAAGATGGACACTTCTCTGCTCTTTGGGTTGGGGGCTTATGGCTCAAATGTGTCTCCTCTGAGTGAGCTTGGCCTGTGAATAGTGATAAACTCAATTCCTTCATTAACTTTTGTTGACACTCAACCCATGACAAAATCTTGTAAGCTCCTGGGGAGAATGAAATGATAAAAACACTGTCCTTTATCTCTGGGAGATGGCAATCCTGCAAGAAGACAGGCCAAATAACCTGCTTAATTTGCTGTGATAAGAACCGAGGTATTTAAAAGCTTAGATGTTACCACAGATGCCTAAGCTGGATTCCTGGCCTTTTCCTGTTGCCATTTCTTTCTCCCCCAAGCCACTCAGCTCTCCAGCCTTAGAGTTTCCTCTAAAGTATGGTCCAGATGTGTGTCCAGTTGCACTGATGTCACTTTCCACTGTCTTCTGCCTTGTCCATTGTGTCCTCTAAGATTTTTTGTGTTTTGTTTTTAGATTGTGTGTTTAGAGGACAGAGTGTTTGTGTGTAGTGTATGCATACGTGTGACTGCAAGTGTTATGTGTTTAGTGAGAGAGTGTGTAGTGTATGTATATGTGTGAGTGCAGCTGCCCAAGGAATCCAGAAGAGCATTCCAATCCCCTGGAGCTGGAGTTACAGGCAGATGAGCTGCCCAGTATGGGTCCTCTGTATGGTCAGTGCTCTCTTTTAACCATGGAGCCATCTCTCCAGCCCCGTGCTGCCTGTCCCTGAGAAAGGGTCTCTCTGTACCCACCATGGGCGTCTAACTCCAGATACCCCAAGTGTTAGGGTTACAGGCATGCACTACCATACCTACACTGAGTTTCCTCCCTTCCTCCCTTCCTTCCTCCCTCCCTTCCTTCCTTCCGCCCTCACTCCCTCCCTCCCTTCCTTCCTTCCGCCCTCACTCCCTCCCTCCCTTCCTTCCTTCCGCCCTCACTCCCTCCCTCCCTTCCTTCCTTCCTTCCTTCCTTCCTTCCGCCCTCACTCCCTTCCTTCCTCCCTTCCTTCCTTCCTTCCTTCCTTCCGCCCTCACTCCCTTCCTTCCTCCCTCCCTTCCTTCCTTCCGCCCTCACTCCCTCCCTCCCTTCCTTCCTTCCTTCCTTCCTTCCTTCCGCCCTCACTCCCTTCCTTCCTCCCTCCCTTCCTTCCTTCCTTCCTTCCGCCCTCACTCCCTCCCTCCCTCCCTTCCTTCCGCCCTCACTCCCTCCCTCCCTTCCTTCCTTCCTTCCTTCCTTCCTTCCTTCCTTCCGCCCTCACTCCCTTCCTTCCTTCCTTCCTTCCTTCCTTCCTTCTGCCCTCACTCCCTCCCTTCCTTCCTTCCGCCCTCACTCCCTCCCTCCCTTCCTCCCTTCCTTCTGCCCTCACTCCCTCCCTTCCTTCCTTAGACAGGGTTTCTCTTTGTAACCCTAGCTGTACTCATTTTGTAGACCAAACTGACCTCACACTCACAGAGATCCCCCTGCCTCTGCCTCCTGAGTGCTGGGATTAAAGGGGTGTGCCACCACTGCCACTGGACCCTGACTTATTTTTCTTTTCTTTTTTTTCTTTGCAATTTTTTTTTTATTATTTTATACGTCGATCCCAGTTCCCTCTCCCTCCCTCCCTTTAACTTATTTTTCTAAAACTAAGTCTGGCCTGACCTTTTTTCTGCCTAAAATTCTTCCATGACTCTCCCCTTGCCCTCCATATAAGTAATGCCATGTCCTCTATGAACTGGCCTTTACAAAAGTCCTGGGTGCATGTTTGTTTGCTGCTGAACACCTCCCCAACACCCTCCCATAACCCCTCCATTCTCCTGCTTTCCTGAGATTGCCTCGTTTCTATCTGTAAGGTGCTCCTGCACCTCATGTGCTAGAGAACTTCTACAGAGCCTTTAAGGTCCTTCTAAAGAACACCTCTTCCATGAAGCCTTCTCAGACTTCTTCAGGCCCTGCAGCAGCTGGACAAGCACCTGTCCACGGAACCTATGCCTTGCTTCAATGGACTTTG